GTGTAGGTGCCCGTGTCCAAAGACCAAGGCTTCCACCCCCCGCCCGGCCTCTCCATCACCCCGTACCCACCCACACCTCACCCCAAAGACACCCTGTTTCCGGGTGAGAATCCCATTCCCGGGAACCCCCGCGCCACAGCTCCAGTTCCAGAAGTGCACATGGGACTTCCCACTGGTGACGATGCAGCTGCTGTCCCGAGGGTTGAAGCCAACGGCCAGGACTGAGTCGTTTGTGCTCTGCAGCGGGAAAGGAGAGTGAGTCCTCCGCCTGCCTCCAGGCGCCCTGGTGCGACCCGAGTCTCTGGCTGCAGGAGTCAGGAAGCCTCAAACAACATTTCCGGACCCCAGGACCCAAGATCACGAGTCCCGGTCACCCCCACAGCCCCCGTAGTGCACACCCGGCCCCGGATGCCCAGCCAGGAGGGGAGTCGACGGGAGTGACGCTGTCCCCAATGTACTCTCCGCAGCCTCAGGACCCTCACCTTGATCTCGGCCAGCTTCGTGCCCCGGCCACAGTCCCACACGGACAGCATGTGCTCGTTGGAGTCATCCACCACGCAGAGAAAAGCACCCTGATCCTGCGGGCGGGGGACACAGCGAGGGGCTAAGCGAGCCCGGGCCCTCGGGGGGCTGGTGATCATTCGGTCAGGGACAGAGAGGACAGGCCAAGTGGACCTGTGTCTTTTCCTCAGGAGTCCGGCAGGAAAGAGTTCCAGAAAGGAGCACCCGGGAGAATCCCCTGATGGAGATGCAAGGAGGGGGGGGCCCCCGCCCCCAGCAAGGAGGGGGTCACGGGTGCCTCCAAGTTCTCACCACGACCGAGAAGGCCAAGGCCCCCACGCCCCGCTCGAAGGCGCCCAGCCCAATCTCCTGCAGCTTCAGCAGCGTCTCAGAATCCCACACGTGGACCACGGGCTGCAGGGGCTTGGAGGAGGAGGAGGAGAAGCATCGGGATGGAGGAACGCTGGATGACCAGTGTGTCCTCTCTGCCCGGGGCTGGGCCTGGATGGGCCTTACCTTCCCATCCTTGTCCACTCCAGCCGTCTGTCCCGAGGCTACTCGAACACCATCGGGGTGAACAGCCAGACTAAGAAGAAGGAGCCACTCTCGAGAAGGATGCTACACATCCATCCCACCACTCAGGCCGCCACCTCCCGGGGGGGGGGGCACACAAAGTGAAGGGGGAAGGGGGTTGGGGGGAACCCACCGCCCTCTGCAGGTGCTGCCCCCCTCACCAGCGAACACAGTCCGTGTGGCCCCGATAGTGTCTCTGGCCCCCGCCTCCAGGACCCCCGGGGCCTCCCCCGGGCCGGTACAGCACCACTACGCAGGCGATGAAGTAGACCACCTCCCCCGAGCGCAGCACGAAGAGATTGGAACGGGAGTCGCGCCCCCGGTAGCCATAACTGGAGTGGGGGGGTCGGGTCAAGGAAAGGGCGAGGCAGGCAGAGGGTCACATGGGGAAGCGGGGGGGGGGGGGGGGCGGAGGAGGAGGAGGGGCAGGGAGAGGAGGGGCTCCCTGTCCCTGCGCCCCAGGAGCGGACCAATGGGTAAGTCTCCCTGTCCCGGGGCTGGAGTGATAGCAAAGCGGGTAGGGTGTTTGCCTTGCACGTGGCCAACCCGGGTTCGATTCCCAGCCTCCCATATGGTCCTCCGAGCACCGCCAGGAGTGATTCCTGAGTGCAGAGCCAGGAGTAGCCCCTGAGCATCGCCGGGTGTGACCCAGAAAGGAAAAAAAAAGAAGACTCCCTGTCCCTGCACACCCAGGAGCGGACCATCAGGGAGAGGGGTGATGGGTGGGTAAGACGAGGGCACCCGCGGGGGTTGGATACACCCAGTCCAAGCTGAGGGTCTCCGGTGGGAGGCCACTGGGCAGCTCCTCAAGGCTGCGGATGCCAGACGGGATATACATGGTGATGGGGCGGCCGCGTAGGAACATCTTCACAGAGATGCCTTCTGCGGAGAAAAGGGGGGGACGTCAGCCCCCACTCCGCAGCCTCCCCTCGAAGAAGCCAGACCAGCGACTACCCACCAGGCTCCCCAGCTCTCCCCAAACCGCAACTGGGACTCTGGCTCCCTTCTGACTCCTCCGCGCCCCCCCACCCCATCCCCATTGGTCCCCATCCTTGTCTACATACCTAAGTTGTAATTGCTCCTCCGAGACCCAGGACCCCCGGGGCTGGAGATGGGGTCTTTCCCCCCACGGCTGTCAGGAAGAGAGAAGGAAAAAAATGCACAGGGGTTAGGGGGGGGCGGGGGTCAGGGGGGCTGGCGGTTAAGCCCTGTGACCATACTGAGGTAACAAGAAAGGTTACCCCAGAGACCTGGGCCAACCCTGAGGCTTCTAGTTTGCACGGTGAGGTCCAGGGGGACTTGCCTCTCCATCCATTTAAGAGATGAGAAGACTGAGGCCGAAGGGACCAAAGTCACAGTCCCAGGTCAGAAAGCGCGTAAGAGCGAGCACAGGTGAAGAGCAAAGAGCGGAACTTCCTCTCCAGATCACCAGGCCGGGGACTCTGCCTTTGCACCACTTAGGTAAAAGGTACACTAGCCCTGCCCTGCAAAGCCCGGCGAAGCAAGCAAGGGGGCCCGGGACCCTCAAGAGGAAAGGCATAGGTGGGCTGCAGGTCACGCTGTCACAGAAAACCTCTGTGCAGAGTCTCACGGAGAGGCGGGAAGGGCGCTGACCGGCTGGCCCCTCAGCTCCCCAGACTCTCTGGGTGGGATGGAGAATGGAAACTCTGAAGCCAGCCACCCTGGAAGGGCAGGGGAGCACCCGGACTCTTGGAAGACACGCTGTGATGCAGAGACAGGGACATGGCAATGGGGACAAGCTGCACAGGAGTCCTGGCTCCCGCTGTGCGCCCCAAGTGCAGTGACTTGCCCTCTCTGAGCCTGCTGCCTCACCTGGCCAATGCACCGCCTGAGACCTCCTAACCCCACAGGGGTGTGGTAGGCATTGAGTGAGCTGGAGGAGCTCACCGACTAGGTGGACACACACAGTCTTCATTCTCCCTGTTGGGCAATGCGGTCCTTCCCTCCCCCCCAGGGGAGTGAGGTGAGGGACAGGGCAGGTGTGTGTGTGTGGGAGGGGGGAGAAGGGGGCCCTGCACACCTCTCAGTGCTCCCGGACCTCAGCAGCAGGTTAGCCGAGGAAGCCGCCTTCCGGGAGAGTTTCTGGCGGGGCCGCTCTGAGGGAGTCGAGGACGAAGAGGAGGAGTTTTTCCAGGGCCTGGGGGAGCACAGGGGGTGGGAGAGGGTCCTGGAACCCTGAGCCCCCACTCCCAGCCCTTCCCACCTCTGGCCCCGGGACACTCACGCATCAGCCCGCTGCGGGGGCTGTGCCAGCCGCAGGGTCCCGGGGGGTCCCGGGGAGCCGGTGCCGCTGCTGCTGCTGCCCCCTCCTTCGGACTGGGCCCCACTGGGCTCTTCGCCGCCCCCCTGGGGGCCGGGGGGCCCGTTGCTCAGGCCAGGGGGACCCGGGGCCGGCTCGGAGTCCGGCTCCGTCTGGGTGCCTCGGCTCACCAGGGAGGGCGTGCGCGGCGCGGGCAGCCCTGGGGGTGCCGCGGGGCTGCTGGAGAGATGGAGAATCACCGGCCGGCCCCGGAGCGCCCGGGAAGGAAGCGGAAGAGGGGTGTGACCGGCCTACCTGGGGGCGCCCTGCGGGGAGAAGAGGGGCGCCTGCAGCCGCAGCTGGCGCAGAGCCTCTGCCAGGGCGGCCTTCACCAGCTCCATCTCCTCCTCCTGCACGCGCAGCCGTCGGCTCAGGGACTGCAGCGCCTCGGTGGCCGGGGCCTCACCTGGGCACGGGCGGGAAGCGGGCGCGGTGTCCACACCCACCCGAAAAGGCAGTGCATGTCCCGCGGAACCGGCCGCCCCTGCAGGGGCCGGGTGTGTGTGTGCGGGGGGTGGGGTGGGGGAGTCGGTGAAGGGGGGGGGCACCCCAGGGTGCTGCCTGGCCTCCGCTGCCTGCCAGGATCGTGGGAACCCCAAAGGAGGCGGCGGCGAGCGAGGAGCCCCAGCACAAGGCTGAGAGTGACAGGCCGTCGGACGGGGCGCCCGGGTTCCAGGGAGGCTCGGAAGGGGAAAGAAAAAGGGGGAAAAAAGGGAAAAAAAGTAGCTCCGTGGCGCCAGGCGCAGAGGCCCGGAATAACACCGGGGCTGGGAACTGCCGGGGGTCGCGTGGCGGCGTGGGGGCGTCCGGAATGACAGCCGCAGGCCGCCGGGAACTAAGGGGGGAGGCGACGTGGGCGGCAGCAGCGGGGGATGCTCGGCGCGCCCGGGCCCGCGGAGCGCGCGGGGACACGTCCAGGCGGCCGTCGGGCGCTCGGGGAAGGGGCAGCCGCCCGCCCCGTCCCGTACTCACCGGGCCCCCCGGCCCCGTCCATCCGGCCCGCGGCTTGCTCGGAGGCGTCTAAGCCGCGGGGGCCATGGCCCGGGAGAGGGGAAGGGGAAGCACCCCGGGGTGAGCGCGAGCGCGCGCGCGCGCTGGGGGCCCGGTCGCCCCCGGGGGGCGCTGTCGGGCGCGGGGACGGGGCCCGGAGGGGGCGCTGTGCTGGGGCCGCCGCCGATTCTCCCGGGGCCCGCCGGGGCCGCCGACTCTCCCGGGGCCGCGCTGGGCTCCCGGGAGCGGGGGTGGCGGGACCGTCCGGGGCCCCAGCGCCGCTGCACAAACAGGCGCCGGACGCGGAGCCGCCAGGAAGCGCGGGAGGGGGGGGCGGGCCGAGGGGGGGGCCGGGCTGCCTGGTAACCCCTCCCTGTCCGGGACCCGACGCTCGGCCGGGGCGGGGCCGCCGCTGACCCCCCGCCCCACCCCGGGCCCCTCCCGGGCCCTCCGCGGTTCCCACCCCGGGGTGCCCCGGAACGTCCCCAGGGAGCGGGCGAGCCGGGCTCCCCGCGCCCCAACCCCCCCGACCCCTCGGAGCAAAGCCCAGCGGCCCGCCCCGCAGCCGCCGCCGCCGCCGCCACTGCCGCGAGGGGACCGGGGCGGGGTCAGCACCTGGGCCCGCGGCCCGGGGGCGGCGCTTTCCCGGAGGGGCCAGGCCGAGGCCGCGCGCGCTCCGAGCTGGCTAAGCCTGGGGGTGGGAGAATGCCCGGGGTATTGGGGTCACGGTGGCATTAGCCCAGCGCAAGCCGGGTCGGGCTGACTCAGCGCGCGGCCGCGGCCCTGTGGGCACTGCCCGCCCGTGGGGGCAGAGATGGGAGATGGCGCGGGTGCTGGCCCTGGTGCTGCCCGTCCAGCGCCGCATCCGTCTGGCGCAGGGCCTCTGGCTCCTCTCCTGGGTGTTGGCGCTGGCCGGAGGCCTCACCGTCCTCTGCAGCGGGCACCTCCTGGTCCAGATCTGTCACCTTGGCTCTTTCTTGGCTCCCACCTGCCCCTTCCATGCCCTGCCAAAGGTGGCCCTGGCAGCTGGGGCAGCGGCTCTGGCCACGGGGTTGGCGGTAGCAGGAGCCAGCCGGGCCAGCCTGGACGCTGCTCGGTACCCTCCCTGGAGAGGGGTCCTGGGCCCATTGCTGGTGGCCGCCGCGGCGGGTGGTGGGGGTCTCTTGTTGGTCAGCTTGGCGCTAGCCCTGGCTCTGCCAGCGAGTCTGGACTCGGGGCTGGAGGAGGGCCTGGGCGCCGCCTTGGCACACTACAAGGACACAGAGGTGCTCGGGCACTGCCACGCCAAACGGCTCCTGGATGAGCTGCAGCTGCAAAACCAGTGTTGCGGGCGTCACGGGTACAAGGACTGGTTTGGGGTCCAGTGGGTCAGCAGCCGATACCTGGATCCCAATGACCCGGACGTGGTTGAGTGAGTGATTGGTTCCTTCGCCCCCTCGGCTTCCTCCCCCGAGCCCCCTCCTCGCCCCCCCCCCCATGGCAGCAGAAGGCGCCTGCAGGCTTTGAGGCCGGTGACCCTCTGTCCTTTCCTAGCGGTGACCCCAGCGGTCACCACACACACTGCTCTGGACAGGCCCTTGTTTCCTCTCTTGGAGAGCGGAGGTAATTGGAGCCGCCCGTCAGCCGAGGTCCTAGATGTCATCCCAGCCCCGGCCCCCGCAGCCTCTGGCCCTGGGCTCCCAGCTCCAGACCTCACACCTCTGCCTCTCTCCCACTGCAGCCGGATCCTGAGTAACGTGGACGGCCTGTACCTCACGGACGGGGTCCCCTTCTCCTGCTGCAACCCCCACTCACCGCGGCCTTGCCTGCAAAGCCGGCTCTCAGACCCCCAGGCCCACCCCCTCTTTGACAAGGAACCGCTCAGCCTAAACCTCTGGGTCCACGGATGCCACGGGGTACTGCTGGGGCGTCTGCAGGGGCTGGCGAGCACACTGGGCAGCGTGCTGGCCGCCACCTGCCTGCTGCACGTGAGTCAGCACGACACCCGAGGCCTCCCTCCATGGGGGCCCCCCACCGCTTGGATTCGGGGGGTCTTTGGGACTGCCCCCACCCTGACCGCCTTTCTTTTGCTTTTCCCTGCCACAGGTTCTGGTGCTCCTGGGCCTGCGGTACCTGCAGACAGCCCTGGAGGGGCTGGGAGGCGTCATCGATGGAGAAGGGGAGACCCAGGGCTACCTCTTCTCGGGGGGCCTGAGAGACACGCTGAAGGCCGCGTGGGTGCACGCCGGGGGTGACCGCAGGCCCGCCCCTGAAGACACCCCCGCAGAAGAGCCTCCTGAAGAGGGTTCACCCGAAGAATAGCCGGGACTGGAGCGACAGCGTGGCAGGGACGCCACTTGGCTCACACAGGGCCGACCCAGGTTCGGTGCCCGAGCCCCTCCAGGACTGATCCCTGAGTGCAGAGCCGCAAGCAAGGCCTGAGCCCCGCAGGGTGTGGCCCCAAACCAAACCAACAACCCCCCCCAAAAAAAACAACAATCTGAGGTCTGGCAGGAGGAAGGCGGGGACGGAGCTGGGAACCTCACCACTTTGGGTTTAGTTTGGGGGGCCATGCCCAGAGGTGCTGAGGGCCACTGGGGTCTGTCACGTGCACGCGCTGAACCCACCGAGACTCCGCTGGCCTTGCCTCACAACTTTTTTTTTTTCTACTTTTTGGGTCACACCCAGCGATGCTCAGGGGTTCCTCCTGGCTCTGCACTCAGGAATTACTCCTGGCGGTGCGCGAGGGACCATACGGGATGCTGGGAATCGAACCCGAGTCGACCGCGTGCAAAGCAAATACCCTCCCCGCTGTACTATCGCTCCAGCCCGGCCTCACAATTTCTTCCTGAGGCCCCAAGGGGCATCAGGATTCAAGGGGTTAAGGCAAGGGTGAGCTCCTTGGTCTGGATGCGGCTTCCCCGGAGGCAGCAACACAATAAAGCTTCTGGACTGAGGCCACTGATCTTCCCTCCGAGGGAGGCAGGAGTGGGGGACGCTGCGGTCTGGACCCCGAAGCTCTGGTCCTCACAGTGCAACAGCAGAGGGCGCATGGGTGGAGACTGTTTATTCACGGTGGGGGGCAGCATGCTCAGGTGGGGAGGGTCCAGCCCAGTTCCTCCAGCCCCCCAGTGCATGCCCAGCCCCAATAAGTTACCCAGTAACCCAGCTGCCCGCCCTGAGTCTGTCCATCCTCCTGTGCGCCCCGAGCGGGGCTCAATACTCAATGGGGCCGCTTGTCCCCAGCCTGTGGGCAGCGGTCACAGGGCTGGCGGTGGCGGCAGGGGAGGGGCGGGTCGCTCCCGGGGATAGAAGGGCCCTTGGGGCCCGGCCTGGCGCTAAGGGGGTCACGGCGGGGACTCAGAATACCACCTTCCCCGCACCGGGCCAGGCGCTGGGTCCCAAGCGGGCTGCGCCCGAGGAAGTTGTGGTGGTGGGTGGCGCCGCGGTCACACCTCAATGTCAGGGTCTGACCCTCGGCCCTGCCGCTGGAGCTGCTCCTCCTGCTTCAACTTGGGCTTCTCCGTCCGCGTGTGCCACACCAGAACCTGTCCCGGAGGGGATTTGGTGAGAGTCCAGCCCACCACGGCCAGGCCCCTGAGCACCACCCCCAACACCACCACACCCGCCCCCCATGGCAGATCCGCAGCTCTGCCATCAAAGCCAGAAGGGGACCCCTAGGTGACCCCTTCTCCCCTCTGCCACCCGGAAGCTGGCACCACCTTCCTTCCGGCCACACCCGAGTCAAGTCAGCAAGGCTAAAACCAAGCTGGGGGACAGTCCTCCAGGTCCAAACTCCCAAACTGCCATCCCTGCACCCTCCACCTCCCCAGGGCCTCCATCCACCCCGGAGCCAACTTCCTGTGCCCACCCCCAGCCAAATTCCCGTGCCCCCCCTTTCCCGTAGTTACCCGAGAGCAGTTGGCAGCCCGGGGTTCCAGGTCTTTGGGGTCCACGAGATGGCTCAGGAGACTGCTCTCTAGGTGGCCCCGGGGCACCGCGGCATCAAACTGGGCATTGGGCTTGGCCAAGAGCAGGGGCAGAGCAACGGCAAAGCCCGCCATGTCCACCGGGAAGGGCCTGGTGGGCTCCCAAGCCGTGTGGAAGCCCACCACGCGGCCGTCCTGCACCCGGGGGCCCTCGAACCGCAGGCCGCCCACCAGTCCCACGGGCCACACGGAGACGCCGCGGGTCCAGCGCATCTAAGAGATGGGGAGAAAAGGAGAAGAGGGTGGGCTCAGGGGAAAGGGGCCACGGAAGGGCACCCCCGGCCCGGCCCGCTCCCTTCAGCCAGCAGCCTGAGCAGAACACCAGCGACCAAGGCTACAGGGGTGCTGCACCCCATCCCCATCTCGCCGCCAGCCTCACCCCCTCAGGGGCTGGAGCAATAGCACAGCAGGTAGGGTGTTTGCCTTGCATGCAGCCTACCCGGGTTCGATTCCCAGCATCCCATAGGGCCCCCCGAGCACCGCCAGGAGTAATTCCTGAGTGCATAAACCAGGAGGAACCCCTGTGCATCGCCGGCTGTGACCCACAAAGAAAAAACAAAAACAGCCTTACCTCCTCAAAGAGCTCCCGGCTGTACGTGTTGTCATCATCTGCGAAGTACACCACCCCTGGGGTCCCCGGCGGCGGGGGGGCCTTCTCTCCCCCCACGGCGCCCCCTCCACTCCGGAGCCAGTCCAGGGCCCGGTTCCGCTGCTCCACCCCACGGGGCCTCAGCCAGCCGGGCTCCCCTTCCCGGAGTCGCTGGGCATTGGGGGTGAGGACAGCCAGGTGCGTGAAGAGGAGGCCAGAGGCCGCCAGCAGCCCCGAGACCAGCGGCGTGGGGCCCTCGGCGTCCTCCACCAGCAGCCAGTGCAGCCGGGGTACCAGGCTCAGGGTCTGTGACAGTCGCACCAGCTCTGCCTTCTGCACCAGCCTGCAGGGGAGAGAGGCAGGAGGAGGGGCGTGGCATTTCTAGCATCTTCCATGACCTTTCCCAGACAACACCCCGGCTCCCTCTGTCTGCCCAGGCTGACTCACCTGCCCTGTTCCCGTCAGTCATGGGCCTCCCCACCTCGGACCCCAGGGCTCTTTGGGATCAGCTGGAATTGGGCCATTCATTCCAGGAGGGGTGTTGGCGCCCCTCCCCCCACCCCCCTCCCTACACTCCCTCCCCCCCAGGTGGTGAAGGGTGAAACCAATACGAGGCACAGCCCTATTACAGACCAAAGATTAAATAAGCTACTGACTTCCCAAGCATACCGGTAAGACCAGCCTCTTTTCTTCCTCGGGTTTCCAGCCAGAGGAACTTTTTTTGATTTTTTTTTTTTTTGGCAGGGGGAGCAAGGAAGGTCACACCCAGCTATATTCAGGGCTCATTCCTAGCAGGGCTCAGGGGCCCATGTGCAGTGCCCAGGATGAAAGCGCAGATTGGCTGAGAGCAAAGCCAGTGCTCTAACCCCTGTGCTCTGCCGCCTGGACCCAGAGGAATTTACAGGAGCCCCTTGGCGCCTGCCCTTTGCTTCTCGTTTGGGTTTTTGCTTCGGAGTCACACCTCTTGGTGCTCAGGGGTTACTCTTGGCTCTCAGCTGGGGGGTGGCACAGAGGTACCATTGTTGGGATTGATCCTGAGTCTCCTGCATGCAAAGCATGTGGCCTCTCTACAAGGAAGAAAGACTTGGGGAATTTGACCAGGAAGTGAACGTGGAAGGTGTGGTCCCAACCTTTCCTCCTTCCTCCTTCAGCTAGGCCTGCTACAGCGCACGTATGTGTCTGTGCGAGTGTGTGTGTGTGTGTGTGTGTGTCTATGTGTGTATGTATGTATATATGTGTATGTGCGTATATGCGTATGTGTGTGTGTGTGTGTGTGTGTGTGTGTGTGTGTGTGCAGAGGGTCTCAGGTTGTCTGTGCCTTGGTGAGGAGAGGCCCTTTTGGCTACAGATCCAAAACCAACTTCAATTGATTTGTATTAATAATAGTGTGACACCCTAGTTTGAAAAATTAAAGCAGGGGCCAGAGCAATAGCAGAGTGGGTAGAGTATCTGCCTCGCACGCAGTGGGCTGGGGTTCAATCCCCAACGCCCCATATGGGCTCCCCGGTGCCCCTAGCACAGTCAGGAGTGATCCCTGACAGTAGAGCCGGGAGTAAGCCCTGAGGACAGCCAGGTGTGTCCCCCACAAAAAAGTAAAGCCACTACAGTTGGGAGAGCGTTTGCCTTGCACAGGGCCAACCTGGGTTCAATCCCCGGCATCCCATATGGTACCCCAAGCACCACCAGGAGTAATTCCTAAGTGCAGAGCCAGGAGCAACCCCTGAGCATCACTGGGTGTGACCCAAAAAAGCCAAAAAAAAAAAAAAAAAACGCTAAAACACACACAGGCCAGAGAGATAGCTCAAAGGGCCAAGTGCACGCAGGAGCAGGAGGCCCAGATTTTTTTTTCTTTTTGGGTCACATCTGGTGATGCACAGGGGTTACTCCTGGCTCTGCACTCAGGAGTCACCCCTGGCAGGACTCAGGGGACCATATGGGATGCTGGGAATCGAACCCGGGTCGACCCTGTGCAAGGCAAACGCCCTACCCGCTGTGCTATTGCTCCAGCCCCCAGGAGGCCCAGATTGAATCCTGGATTTTATGACATGAATCCCCAAGCACCACCAGGAGTAACCCCAAGAAACAAGCTGAGGACCCCAAGTTGTGTCTCAAAATCAGCAATAAAAAAAGCATAGGCCTTAGAGACAGTACAGGAGTTAGGTAGGGGTCTTGCCTTGCATTCCAACCCCAATTTGAGTCCCTGGCACCACATATAGTCCCCATTCAAACACTGAGACAGGAGTAGCCCCTGAGCACCACCAGGTAAGGCTTCAAAACAACGCAGTTAGGTCAGTGGCACTGCCACATTAATTTTAGACCCTGCCACGGGGGACCGAGTCCTTCTGTACATTATCGGGGATTCTCAAACTTTCTGAGTAGCGGCTTTCTAAGGACAGAGCATGAACTCGAAGCTCAAAAGCTCTTTGAAATTGATTATTCTACCTTAACTTTTGGCAGTTTTATAGGACACCCCCGATGACTTTCCTAGAAAACACCCATTTCCCCGCCTGTCTTTGAGCAAAGACGTGGTTGGTTTTCCTTCTGGCAGACTCTGGGACAGAACCTCCCCCAATCCCTCGCCATCACCCCCAGCCTGGTGTTGGGTGCTTGGGTGCCGGTACCTGGAGTAGGTGGGGGTAATGACATAGATAGTAGGCAGGGCCTCGGGCTCAGGGGGCTGGGCAGGGGCAGGGGGTGGACGGCGGAGGTCAGCTTCCAGCTGGGAAATCTTCAGATCCTTCTGCCGCAGCTGTTCAGCCGCTGCCCGCAAGGGAGGGAGGCAGTCACATGGCTGGCCTGGTCCCAGGAAGCAGGGATGGGGACAGAGAACGAGAGCCTGTTCAGCATCCCACAGGGCGCGCACCTTCTCCATCGCCCGCGTCATGCAGGAGTGGCACAGCCTCTACCTCGCTGGCCCACCGGCTGCCCTGGCCCCTCTGAACACAGCCCTCGGGTTCCAGTTTTCCATCAGGACCCTGAGCTGAGGATCAGCCTCCATCCTTTTCTAGCTACTGGTCCTAATGGTGCCTTCCGGAGCTTTGAAGAACAAGTCCATCTCCTAAAACGGGACAGTCTTTCAGACCTCTGAGGACCCCACAAGGCCCACTCCAGCTCTCTGAGCCTGCTTGGGGGGGGGGGGGGGCCAAGGGCAGGGTTCTCCACCGCTAGGTAACCAAAGACTCATTGAAGCTCTCATTGCAACACGGGATAAACGTTTATTGATCGCTCCTCCTGGGAGGCATTGCCTTAGGAGCCCGGGGGGGTTACACAGGGGTCAAAACGGATGTGGAACGCCTTCAAAAACGGAAATTTTGTTCCCTGGAGGAGGCAGCGGGCACCAGGCAAAGAAGTAACAGATGCATAATAACATCATAACGGTTTGTGGTGAGGGTCAGGAAGGAGACCAGCGGGCCAGAGGTTAAAGTAGGGGCCCCCCGGGGAAGAACAGTGGCCAGCGCCGGTGGTCAGGGCGGGCGGCCGGGGACGTCTGGGCTGAGACCTGCAGGGTGCGAGGAAGCAGCGGGCAGGGAGGCGCGGGGAGGGCAAAGCAGCGCGGGGAAGGGGCGCCAGAGAGCAACGCACGGCGGGTGTTTTTTTTTATTTTCGCCCCGCGATCTGAATTGAAGCCATTCCGGCCCGCGCGGAGCAAGCGGGAGAGGGAAGAGGAGGGCAGGGGCGGGGGGGCGCGGACGGAGCGGGTGTCCCGCCGCGCCCCCGCCCCGCCCCGCCCCGCTCACCGAGCTGCACCAGCGCGTAGAGGAGGCCGGCGATGGACACCAGGAAGTAGGCGAGAAACACGTTCTTCAGCTTCAGCTTCATGGCCGCGCCGCGGCCCGCGCCCCGCCAGGCGGGCTCCGCCGGGCACTCGGGGGCTCGGCCCCGCCCGCCGGCCCGCCACGCCCCGCCCCTGCAGCGGCCCCGCCCCGGGAGGCGGCCGCCCGGGCCCACTTCCGGGGAGGGCGCCGGCGCGCCGCCCGCTTCCGGTGCCGGGCCGCGGCCTGGGAACCGCGGGCGCGGTCGGCGTCACTTCCGGTGTGCGCGGAGTGGGTGGGGCGGCGGCCAGGGGACCGTGTGCGGCGCTGTCCGGAGCCCTGGCGGAAGCACGTGGGCACAAGCTGCCACCGTCCCTTGGGGCTTGGGACCGAATGAGAACTGCCGGCCTACCGGGTTTTTTGGGGTTTTTTCGTTTTTTGGCTTTTGGGGTCACACTCGGTGGTGATCAGGAATTACTCCAGGCGGTGCTCGCGGGCACCCCGTATGGGATGCTGGAGTTGAACCCCAGCCGATCGCGTTGAAGACAAACACCGTCCTCGCTGTGCAATCGCTCTGACCCCAGACCTGCTGGTTTTTATCTTCATTCATTCATTCGTCCAGGCCAAAAAATACTTGTTACACGAATGAACGCTTGGGCTTACCATGTAGTCCTAGGCTCTGGTAGCCTTCATAGAATTCCTTCGAAGAGACATTACCCCATTTTATAGGTACGAAGTTAGTTGACAAAGATTCTGTCATAAAAAGTGCAATTTCTCCCACCTGGACGTACAGGCCCAGGAATGAGAGAGGGGGCTGGGGCGCTCAGGAAGAGGCTTGCCTCCCACAGGGATTCTTCCCAATTGATGAGAAATATTCTCTGCTCAGCTTCTTGGTGTTGCTGTGAATGGACCCGAGGGGTCTCAAACAGGTGCAGCAGGTGCTCTGACCCTAAGCTACCACTTCCCTGGCAGTTCCGGAGACTTCTACCTCCTCACAGGAATAAGCATCTTGAACAACTCTTCTCTGGAGGCAGGTACCAGGCAAAGTAGTAACAGATTACTACATTAAAAAATAATAATAAATAAATACACACACACTACATACCTATTCCAAGACTTTGGTAATCAAGGCTGGAGCGATAGCACAGTGGGTAGGGCATTTACCTTGTAAGAGGCTGACCCGGGTTCCATTCCCAGCATCCCATATGGTCCCCCAAGCACCGCCAGGAGTAATTCCTGAGTGCACAGCCAGGATGTACACCCTGTGCATTGCTGGGTGTGACCCAGAAAAAAAAAAAGACTGGTAATCAGTGTTTCCAGCGTTTTTTTTTTTTTTTGGAGGGGGGAGGTGTTGGGCCACACCTGGCAGTACTGAGCTTACTCCTTGGCTCTGGACTTAGGGATCACTCTGGTGGTCTCAGGGGACCCTATGGGGTACCAGGATTGAATCTGGGCTGGTGTGTGGCACGGCGAGCGCCCTGACCAATGTACTGTCACTCGGGCCCCACCACTAAGCCTACCCAAACTGATGAGCTTGCAGGGCCTGCAGTGAAAATGCTGAGCCTAGCAAGCCGCAGAAAGCGTGCCCTTTGTGTGGTTCCAGGCGCTGAACCCACACATACAAGGGAACTGCTCTACTGCTCTGCTACACCCACCGCCCACGAACTCACTCTTTACTGAACCAATGACACTTATCCAAAGGTAGATGAAAATGTCAGGCTCAGTTCGGAACTAGAATCCAGACACCCAAGTTAGTTATGGTTTATCTCTTTATTTTTTCTGCTTTTATCAAAACCTGTCACAGCTGGGGGCTAAGAGGAAGTAAAAAAAAATTCCCACAAATATTGTCCCTCCTCCCTAATTGGTCCTCCCCCCCACCCCACTCCCACCCAGGGCTTCGTGCCAACCCTGGGGACACATGATCATCTGCCCCACCCTTCGTCTGCTCCCATCAATAAATACAGGTGACCGTGATTTGATGAAACAAGTGATTTCTCCATTTGAATGCCCCTCGGGGGACAAAATAAAAGGAGTCCAAAGAAGTTTAATACCTAGCCCCTCTTAGGAAGACTAGAAACTTCTTCCCCCTTTGGGCCAGGGGAGGTAGAACTGCCCCTATCAGAACTGCAGCAGCTCTAGAAGAAATTGGGGAGGGGTCAGAAAGGGTGGGGGTGGGGGCCGGAAAGATACAGCTTGCTTAGCATGTGGCTGACCTCCACTCGATCCCCCAGCACCCCATATGGTCCCCCAAGCACCACCAGGAGTGACCTGAGCACACAGCCAGGAACAGCCGTGGATCACTGCCAGGTATGGCCCAAAACATTCCCCCCCATCCCCCCAAAGGTAGATCGCGACCGAGGGAAGGGAGGACATTTTCCAACCACCTCACTCGGCTGATCCACTCATCTCTCATCAGGTAAGGAGCGGTCCCAGTGTATCAGGGGGGTTCTAGAGGGCGGAGGGGAGGAGGAAAGAGGAAGAGGGAGGGCAAGGGAAGGAGAAAAGGAGCCCTCAAACTCACTGCCTTCATCTTCTTCCAAGAAATGGCTTCAACACACAGAGAATGGACAGGGTCGAGGGGAGATCCGGGGGTCCCCAAAAGGAGGGAACGGGAAAGCAGGGGGTCCTGTGGTCCTCAGGCCTCCACAGTTGGGGCAACAGGGTCAAGGAAGGGAGGGAAAGACGTGTCCACGAGGTGGGAGAAGTCAAAGATCACAAGAGGAATTCAGAGGCCAAGGACAATCCTCTCATCCTGCCCAGATGTTGACAAATTCTGGGTCTTGGGATAAAAAAAAGGTGCCATCGAGGGGGGGGTCCAACTCCAAGGCAGAAGCGAACTCTCGTCACGCCTGCACCGCCCCGCCCCAGCATCTCTGCGTTATCGCAGGTGAATACTCCAGTCAGACGCCACGTTGACGCCAGGCTTGCGCAGGACCAGCACTGAGGTCTCGGGGTCATGCTGGAAGGACAGGCGGCTTTCGGACGACCCTGCAAGCGAAAGAAGCAGCGCCCGCGTCACAGGGAGGCCCCCCCCAGTCTGGCCCTGCTTCTTCCTTGCTTGGGAGCCAGCGACTCACCTTCCGTCTGCAGGACCACAGCTGCAGGCTTGCCGGCCCCGATGATCACCACCCGCTCGATCCAGATCGGCGTCTCAAAGTGGCCTTTAGGGTCCGCTGAGCTGGAGAAGGCAAGCGAGGGTGTTGGCCAGGGAGCAAGAGGAGAAGGGAAGGAGAAGCAGCTCAAGGAAGGCTCTGACAAAGCTGAGGGCTGAGCCCCCGCCTTACCTGGAGACCAGGGTGTTGCCCGAGAATGAGAACCGACGCAGCAGGTACGAATGCTGATTCTGGTAGTTGAACGTGTGCCCGTCATCTAGAAAGAGCTCTCCTTGGGCTGTTCCCTGCGCAGGAGGAGGACAGAGAGCCTGAGCCCGGGGGGCAGGGGGGGCACACAGAGGATAAATTCAGGCAGGCAGGCAGCTGAGGGGGTTCTGGGCTTGCGCGCCCACCTGGGGGCTGAGTGCCACAAAGAGAGTGAGGGGGTCATCCTTCATACAGTCTGAAGAGCGACGCACGCGCATCCACCGGGGCACGATGGTCCCTCCGCGCTGGAACACCGGGATCTAGGGGGAGATCAGAGCTGTCCAACCTGGGCCCGGAGGAGATCCCAGAGGCGAGCCCAGGAGCAGGGGGCTGGGCCGGGGTACTCACAGTGCTTAGCGTGACAGGCAAGTAGAGGGTCTGGGGGCCATGATACTTCTGGTGGGTCTGCATGTCATACCACACCTGTGGGCCATGGGAGAGGTTCAGTCACACGGTGCACAGCACCCCCATCCTATTCAAACCCCCCTCGGCCTCCATCATTCTCTTCTATGCCCCTCCTGAACTCACCTCTCCTTGGCCAGGCAGATAGACTTGCACACCATGCGCTCCAGAATCAGACACAGGGTGGACCAGCAACGCATCCCCTGAAACACACCAAATCAACTCGGAGGTGAGGGAACTGTCCATTCCCCAAGCAGCTGCCTGCCCCCGTGCCCTGCCACCTCCCTCAAGCCCTTGCCTGGGCCTCCACAGACCCGTCTCCCCTGAGCTCTGACTGCTTCTTGCTCCTACCACAACCCCCACCCCACACACTGCCTCCCCCTTCTCACCAAGCAGGAACTGATCATCCATGCTGAAGGTATTCACATCCTGAGGATAATGCACCCACAAGGGTCTAGGAAGAAAGCAAAGAAAAAAGGAAGTTAAGGGCTAAAGCTAGAGCACAGCAGGTAGGACCCTTGCCTTGCAGTGGCCAACCCGTTCAGTCCCCAGCACTCCCATATGATCCCCTGAGCACCTCCCAGAGTGATCCCTGAATGCAGAGCCAGGAGTAAGCCCCTGGCAAGGCTAAATATGGCCCCAAAACAACCAAGCAAAAAGAAACTTAGTTTTTAGTTTGGGGACTGAGGGGGTGGAGAAAGGAAATATGTAAGGGACCATATCCAGGGTCTTATTCATGCTAAGAATATACCCTATCATCTAGCTAGTCCCCCAACCTAGCCCCTGTCCACTCACGTCTCTGTGTTGAAGCCATTTCTTGGAAGAAGATGAAGGCAGTGAGTCTGACGGCACATGTGTGTGTGTATGCATGCATGTGCGCACCATGTGCGTGCATTTATTTCAGGGCCAAACCCAGTGTGCCAAGAAGTCACTCCTGACTCTGGGACCCTGGGCAGTACTCTGGCAACCATATGGGCTAATGGGGACCTAAAGAGTCTGTCCTGGGGCCAGAGCATTAAGTCTCATGGGTAAGGCATTTTTGCTTTGCACACAGCTGACCCAAGTTCGATCTCCAGCATCCCATATGGTCACCCAATCCCTGAGTACAGATCACAAACAGGAAAAAGGTCACCCGTGTGCAAGGCAAGTGTCTTCACCACTTGCAGCTTTATCAGAGTCCAAGACGTGGCCAGGACCTACCTAGGGCTGACCCAGGAGGAGTTTGTAGCCCTAGAGGGCCCAGGCAGGCTTCAGCTGAAGCTTGGTGCCTCCCTTTGGTTCGGAGCAGAAATCCCTAACCCCCTCCCCCGCCTCCTCGCCTCGCCCCCAATAACCCTGATCTTTCATCACCAGAGGCCCCTCCATCTCCCGCCTCACCCACACTGCTGCCTTTCGTCCCTTACCACTGAGAAGCGGCTCTTTTTCCTGGAATACAAAACCTTCCGCCTCCATGAGGATTTTTACCCTTGCAATCTCTCTGCTTGGCGCCTGCTTCCCTAGACCCCAGGAGTCTGTCTTGCTCATCGTGGGCCCTTACTTCACATGGCCTTCCTCTCAAAAGGCAGTTTGTGGAACCTAATTCCATCACCCTGCTCTACTTCTGTCGAAGAGCTTGTCGCTCCTGGCACTTTTCTGATCTGTATTTCGGTTTACGTGTCTGCCTTCCTCTCCAAACATTCAGCTTCACAAGGCAGGAGACAGGGACTTATTTCAGGCACAGTGATGAGTAACATCGGGCAAGTCAAAAGCACTCAGTAATGTCCACTTCTCCTTAACCCTCTTAGATTTCTTCTTTCTCTGGATCTTAAAATCAGAGTCTTCTCCTTTCGGGGGCCCAGGTGAGTAAGGAGGCCTGGCGATGGCGCCTAGTCTCCAGTGTCCCCCAGCCCCCCAGTCCACTCCACAAGGCCCACAGCGCCCTCACCTCATGATGGGGATCCCTTCCCGATTAGTCTGGTAGAAGAGGGTGTACCAGAAGGGCAGCAAGGAATAGCGCTGGTTCAGGGCATCCCGGATTATGTCCCTGTGCTGGGACCCAAGCAGCCACGGCTCTCGGCGCCCCGTATCCAAGTGGGCATGTGCCCTGAAGAACGGCTGGTAGGCTCCCATCTGGTACCAGCGCACCAGCAGCTCAGGCTCCGGATTTTTGAAGAAGCCACCAACGTCGGCTGGAGGAGGACGAAAGGGGAGGATGGTTAGAAAGGTGGGGGGAGGGGGGATGCAGCCTAGTGGTTAGTCACCAAGGCTCTCCCTTGGACTCTCAGCTCTCTGCCCAGGCCTCGGTCTTACGACTTTCACCCGGCCTCCTCCTGCCAAACCCAGACCCCAGCTTCTTTCCCCCGCCCCCCTCTTACCCCCGCAGAAGGACAGTCCGACCAGCGACAAGCTGAGACACATAGGGATAGTGATCTTCAAATGCTCCCACTCGGCCGTGTTGTCCCCGGTCCACACGGCTCCTGACGAGGACAAGGGGGAGGAAGGGAGCAAAGAGTGAAGCGCCAGCGCTGCATCCTGCCGACCCGGGGCCAGATCGGAACAGGAACCAGACCGCCCACTCGCCGGTCCACCCCCGCCAAGCATCAGCCGCACAGACTGCCTTCTCGGAGGCCCGGCCCAGGCCCACAGCTCTGCTCTCCGAATCTCACCGTAGCGCTGGGAGCCAGCGAAGAAAGCCCTGCTCAGGACGAAGGGGCGCTCCTTGCCCTGGGAGCGCTGCACCAGCCCCTCAGCAGTCGCCATGTGCTGGCAGAAGACAACAGCCAGGAGTGAGGAGCGCCACGAAATGCCTCCGCTCCCCGGCACACCGCCCCCCCGGGCCGGCCCGCAGCCCCCTACCACGTAGAGGCCGTAGATGTTATGCACGTCTCGGTGCTCCCAGTCCCCGTAGTGACGCGCGTCCTTGAGCATGGTGACCTCAGGGCCGTTAAACACGGACGGTTCGTTCATGTCGTTCCAGACGTACAGGTCGGAGTTGGAGCCCTGGGACGGCAAGGCGAAAGAGGGTGGGAGGGACGCAGGGTCAGAGAGTTCTTGAGAGCCCCAAGAAGAGGCCTTTCTCTGGGCGTCCCAGAAGGGAGGGCAGGAGCGTGCGGGCACACGGCTCTGATGGAGGGGCATGGCAGGGCCTCCCTCACCTCGTAATTGTCAAAGCTGAACATGTTAGCCCACCAGGCCCTCATCTTGGGGTTGGTGAAGTCTGGGTAACTAGCTGCCCCTAGGAGGAGTTAAGAGTGGCCGTCAATCCCCCAGGGCTCGAGAGGCTGCGGCTGCCACATCCCTGGGCTCTCACTCCACTCCGCGCCCACCTACCTGGCCAGCACCAGCCCTCGTAGTCGGAACCATCCCGGGTTTTCACATACAGACCCAGTTTCCGCAAGTCTTCATGCACGCGGTAGCCCGAGTCCACCTTGATGTGGGGGTCCACGATGGCCACCAGCTGGGGGCAAGAACGTGCACGGTCAGCGCTCTCGGAGGCGCTGAGGCCCGAGAAGCCCAGCACAGCTACACCCTCCTTACCTTCCGCCTCTTGGCGGCCAGCTGCTCGAGCATGGACAGTGGGTGGGGGAAACGACTGGGGTCCCAGGTGAAGTAGCGCTTGCCATCGGCGTGCTCAATGTCCAGCCAGATGACATCACAAGGCATGTTGTGATCATCGAAGCCCTGATTGACTTCCTGAACGTCTGCCTCGTCCCGGTAGTTCCAGCGGCTCTGGTGGTAGCCGAGGGAGAAGAGCGGGGGAAATGCCTGGGTTCCTGCAGGTTCAGCAAGGGATGGGGTCACGCTGGGTGCAGACCCAACCTGGGGCCAGCAGGGGACACCCAGAAATGGACGGAACCTTGGCGACGAGCAGGAGGCCAAGGGGTACAGGGCCAACAAACGGGGGCTTCTTGGGAAGCCAGCCACCTCTCTCAAGTTACAAGGGTCAAAGTGGATGGCGGCTGCTGAGCGGGGGGCCCCGTACCCGTGAGGCTGGCGTACTGCCGGAAGACGTCGAAGACGGAGGGCCCGAGCATCAGGAAGACATCGATGATGCCACTCTCCGACATCCAGCGGACATCCGTCTGTGGGGTCTCCCCGGAGCCCTGCAGGTAGTCCAGCATCTTCCCAAATAAGGTCTGTGGAGCGAACCCGAGACCAGGTCAACACCCGGACTCTGGGCCCAATCCAAGACCAGCAGCAGCACCCTCCTCGGCCACGCTGACAGGGACTCCAAGCCACCTACTGGGTGAGGCTTTGCTGGGCCGCACCGGCTAAAGCAGCAATGTCCCAGCCTCGCTTCATGACCCTTTTTGCTTTTGAGGCCATACCCAGCAACGCTCGGGGTTTACTCCTGGCTCTGCTTTCAGGGCATCACTGCTGGCGGTGTCTGGGGGACCTGACAGGAAGCTGGCTATTGAAGCTAGCTTGGCCATGTGCAAGGTGAGTGCTCTGTTACTAGCTCTCTGGCCCCCGACCATTTCATTTCTTTCCTATCATCCACTGCTACCAAAATCACCCTGCCTGCCTTCTGTTCTACCCATTTAGTATCTAGTTTCCTCTTCTCCACCACAATGAGCAACACCCCCCATCACCTCTGGGAAAACAGCTTCACTGTGACCAGTAGCTAATACAAAAGGTACTGACATGAGTCAGAGATTGCACTGGCTGACCCTTGTTCCATCCCTGGCACCACTTGGTCCCCAAAGCATCACCTGAAAGGCTCTCAAACACACCAGGATGGCCCAAGTCATCCCCGGCATGACATCCTCAGGCCATCACACTGAACCACTGGCCTGCCTGGATGCGGGACTGCTGAGAGGGGCAACAAGGCCTCCCAGGCACTGCCTGGGAGGCCCCCAAATTAAAAATAAAATTAGAGGCTGAAGGGAGAGCTCATCGGGTTGAGCGCAACAAAGCATGAAAATACGCTTGGCACGTGAGAGGCTGAGGTGCAATCCCGGACACTGCACAGTAGGGGGGGAGCACTGCCGGGAGCAACCCCCAGGCACTGTTGGATGTGACACAAACACCACCTGCAAAGTAGGCACCGGGGCCCAGACAACAGCTCTGGGGCAGGAGCACATACCTAGCACAGGTGAGGCCCAGTACTACATGGCACTGCCAGCTCAGTCCGGGGGAACCAAGTGGCCCTTTTGAAAGAAAGTAAAAGGGCAAGGCTGGCCCCAGGAACTGGGAGTCAGTGGTAGCGACTGCTTCTCACAAAACAGGAACCCTTCTCTCATCATGTCCTAAGAACCTTCCACACTGAGGCTGTCCCAGGGGCTAGACCCATAGCATAGCGAGCAGGGTGCTCGTCTTGCATGCGGCTGACCAGGTTCAATGCCTGGCACCCCGTATGGTTCCCTGCGCCCTACCAGGAGTGATCCCTGAGCACAGAGCCAGGAGTCAGCCCTCGGCAGAGCCAGGTATAACCCCAACTCCAAGCTCCCGCCCCCCCAAAAGAGGCTGTCCCAGCAGCAGCTTTGAAGCCGACCCGCCAGCAATGGCGCCGAGGCCTGAGCGCCCGCGACCTTACCTTCCCTGCGGTGTTGGAGGATATGTCCACCCAGGTCTCGGCAGCATTGAGCCAGAAGATGCCCAGGTCCCGGTGGGCACTGTGAGCCAGGAGCACCGGCACGGAGCCATACAGGGCCATGATGTTGTACAGCTCGTACTGGAACACATCGAGGTTGTAGAGGCGATACGGGTCCCCGCCCCTGCGGAAGGGCAGACGGAGCGACTGACCCCAGGCTGGGGCACATGCCCCGACCCACTGTCCATATCGCCCGTGCTCAAAGACACTCCAGCTCCCAGAGGGAGGCTCAGGAAAGCCAAGCAGGCGATCCGTAGTGGGCACAGATACATCTCCCGCAGCCCTACCTTGCTCTTCCCCGCCCCCAATCCCTAGCCCATCTGAGACCGCTACAGGACTCACTCGGTGACCTTCAGCCTCAAGTTGTCTGCGTGCTCGGGGATCCCATACACATGCTCCATGCCTGGCAGAGAGAAGTCCAAACCCACAGACGTAGGGCCTGAAAGGGAAGCGGGGATGAGCTTGGGGGCCGGGGCCTGGCAAGGCCCCCCGGACCACCTGCCGCGCGCCCCGGCCCTCACCATATGGCTTGCTGTCAGAGTGAGTTTTGAACGTCTCCTCCCATGCTCCTGGCTCCTCCCTCTCTGCCTTCTCAGGGGACTCCTGCTGCGAGGAGGAAAGCAGATGACTGCCAATCAATCACCCGACAGTTCTCTCTCCCTGAGTAGGACACCAAGCCCCAGGTCTCTTTCTTTCTGGGGAGTCGAGCCACACTCGGCGGTGCTCAGGGGGAACTTCTGGCTCTGTGCTCAGGGATCACGCCTGGCAGGGGCGCAGGGGATCATACACGGAGCCAGGGATTGAGCCTGGGTCAGCAGCATATGAGGTATACACCCGACCCGCTAATACAGCGGTACTAGCGCTGCCGCCCCTAAACTCCAGTCCCTGTGGGCCTTTCCTCTCTAACCTCTCAGCTCACCCTGGTCAGCCCGTCCCTGGCCCGCCCGCCCCCACCTCCATCAACCTGCCTTGTCATGATCCTCAGCGGTTTCCTCCGGCTGGGCCTCATCGCCCTCAGCTGGGTCTCTTGATCCTTGCCTGGAAGGTAGGAGAGCTGTCTGCTCCAATCCAGAGGGGGCAGGGACGAGGGGCTAGTGGAAGGAGGGGTGAGGGAATAGAGAGCCAAGGGTCCAAAGGAACGAAAGCAATGGAGGAAGGGACTGAACGTTAAAGCTTGGAGAGGGCCCCCACCGGAAAGCATGACGGATGCAAAGGATGGGAGAGAGATGAGAAAGGAAAATAAATAAAAAAACAACGCCAGGAGGTGCCTTCCACACACAGGCCCCGGTCAGCCCGCCCTCTGCCAGCATTCCGGGAGGGACGGGCAGATTCAAGGGCCTGCACTGGGCCTCAGCTTCTTGGCCTGACACAAGGGTAACTACAAGGGAAAATGGGCCACATCAGGCCTGAGCCCGTAGAGATATGCGGGGACTCAAGATGTTACACTGAAGGCAGCGACCCAGCAGCAGCGCCCAGAGCCTCAGGCTCCCGCCAACCAAGAGCCAGGAGTCAGCACTAGGCCACAACTTCACCCCTGGGCAAAACAAGAAGCGCTTAGCATTCCCTAAGAATTCCCAAGGTCAGGCTAGAGAGAGGAAGGCAACTGCCTCGCAATGCACCCTGGTTCAAATCCCCAGTCCCGCATGTGGTCCCCCAGGCGCCACCAGGGGTCACTCCTGGGCACAGAACCCGGAATACCCCTGAGCACAGGTGGGTGTTGGCCCTCACCCCCTGTCCATCTCCCGCTGCCCTGAAAAAAAAAAGAGAATTCCCAAGTCTCATCTTCCTTCTCCCAGAAGGCTCCCAGGCAGAGGAAGAGGAATCAGATACCACATAGCCTGGGGCTGGGTGGGGCTGGGGGTAGTGCAGGAGCTGAAAGGGGGTGAGTGAAGGTGGGACAGGCAAGGAGCCGGGCACCTTTCCCTAGGGGCTGGGCCAGAGTGAAGTGAAGGGAGGGTGAGGGCGGAGGAACGGATACAATACCAGTGGTCAGAGATTTACCTAGAGAAAAGGCTCTTGATCTTATCCCATATGCTACCGAGCGTGACACTAAGTTTATCCGAGAAACTGGGGCAGGAGATGGATAGGGGAAGGGGAAAAGGAGGCACAAAACCAACACAAAAACAGAAACAAAAAAGTGAGTTTCAGTTGACAAACTTCCAGAATGGGGGGGCGGGGGGGGGGCGGGGAGGGAAAAAGAATAAAACAAACAAAAACAACAACAAAAACGAGATGAAAAATAAATCTGGGAAGTATGACGGTATGAGATGGGAAGAGGGAAAGGCAGACCCAGGCAAGCCTAGCGAGGTGCCCCGGGGGGCAGGACAGCTCAGCGACAAAAGCAACTGCCCCCTGGTCTGCCCAGGAAACGGGAACGTGCAGCCCTGGGTCTGCTTCCTGCCTTCCCTGACAGATGGCGCTTCCCAGCTCCCTGCCCCCACCCGGGGACCCCCAAGCCTCGCGGGTTCTCTCAGACTAGTCCCCTTCATTCCAACTCCTGTACTCACGAGACCCTGGGGGCGCGCTGGTGCTCGAAGTGCAGGAGGCCCCGGGCGTTGACGCTGAGCAGGAGGCTGCGGTCCTCCAGCAGGTCCAGGCGGAAGGGCTGCGCTGTCAGGATGATCTTATAGGGCCCCTCCGCCACCGTGAACTCCACGCTGTTGTCATCACGGCCCGAGATGGAGAGTCTGGGAGAGAGAGGAAAAGGGAGCTGAGAGGCGCGACAGGGCCGAGCGTCAACAGGGCACTCGAGAGGAATGGAGACCCACTCGCGGCGACAGGCTGCGTGGCCGAGACGGGAGAACACACCAACGGCAGCACAGAGCCAGAAGACAGATCCCAGGGCTGTGGAAGTCTAATCGCCGGCCAGCGCAGTGACAGAAGACCGACAGAGCAGAGGGGAAACAGTTCCTGTTGAGTAGGAGTCATAATCGACGCAGGAGAAATAGTACAGCAGGCAGGGCGGCTCGCCTTGCCCGTGGCCAACCCAGGTTCGATTCCCAGCACCCCTATGGTCTCCTGAGCCCCACCTAGAGTGATCCCTGAGCACAGAATCAGATGTAAACCCTGGGCCAGGAGTAAACCCCTGAGCATGGGCAGCTGTGACTCAAGTCCAAAAAAAATTTTTTTTAAATGTTGAAGCAAGTAAAAATTGAAGATCTTTTATTTCTAAATGAGGTGGGGGTGGTGGGGAACCATTAAACTTTAGCTTCAAAACAAAGCTGCAATGCCTACGGATTAATTTACTACAAGACAAAAGAGGAAACACACGGCCAGGGTGGGCTTTGCACGTGTAAGGCCAGGGTTCAATCTCTGGCCCAGCTTCAGCCAGCCAGCCCTGACAGGAGTGACCGCGAAGGATCGGCTAACGATCGCGAAGGATCGGCTAATGATCGCCGGGTGTGGGCCGAGGAATAACAAAAAAATTAGTCTAGAGGCACCCCAGGATGTGGCTTAGTCATATGTCAGCATTACAAAGGTCCCCAGCACCACAAGGATGTGATCTGTGCAGAACCCCTACGTGACAGCCACAATGAGGAGGAGGGAAAATTAAGATGAACTGAAAAGGAGCACAGCACCAAATCCCCGCTGCTGCTGCTGAGTGATCGGGCCGGATTATAGCCCCAGCATCAGCAAAGAAACCTGAATGGCATCTAAAGTTAGAATCAAAACAACCAACTTGGACAGACCACTGAGGACAAAAACAACAACCCCTGCTCTCCCTGGCACACACATCCTGCTTGCTCGTCTCTTCACCTCTGCGAATTTCCCCTCTGGAGGAGCCCGCGTTTTCTGTTGAATGCGCACTTCTCTCTCTCTCTCTCTCTCTCTCTCTCTCTCTCTCTCTCTCTCTCTCTCTCCTCGCCTTTCTAAGTAAGTTTCAATAAAAAAACTATCTTGCTTCATTAAAGGAAAAAATATGTGGGTGTGGGTATGGCTTTGGGTCACAGCTGCCGGTGCTGGACACTAAACCCGGGCCACTCTTTAAGTTCTTTCTAGAAAGTAAGAATGGTTACAGACTACCATTTTCACTGAACAGTAAGTCCAAATGAACAGAGCAATTGCATGAATAAACTGGAAACGCTGGGGCTGGGAGACTGCACAGAGTTAGAGTTGCACAAGGCAACTGTGGTCTCCCAAGCACTTGAAGACTCACTCCTGAGCACAGACAGGGGCAGCCCCTGAGCACCACTGAGGTGAGCAGAGGGGAGGGAAACAAAATAAACTAAAGAGAGCCAGAAAGACAACAGAGCTCAAGCCACCGCCTTACCTGTGGCAGATCAGGGTTCGATCCCCAGCAATGCCAAGAATGGTACCACATTAAGCCCAGAGCAGGGAGTAACCCAAGAAGCTACTGGGTGTGGTGCAAAATTTTCAAAAATTAGTCAACTGAGGGGCTGGAGCAATAGCACAGCAGGTAGGGCATTTGCCTTGCACGCAGCCGACCCGGGTTCAATTCCCAGCATCCCATATGGTCTCCTGAGCACCACCAGGGGTAATTCCTGAGTGCAGACCCCTGTGCATCACCAGGTGTGACCCAAAAAGCCAAAAAAAAAAAATAGTCAACTGAAAAGGACCACAAAGCCAAGATCTGTGCCATGGCATCAGCATTCTATACACAGCTGGCTGGCGAAAACCCAGTCCAGGAGTATCCAGGTCTGGAGAATGAGGAAACTTGCATAGTGTTGGTGCAAGCATAAATTCATACGCACTATGAATTTATTTTCCTATTTCAATTTTTGACTACTTCTGTACAAATCCCGGGCCTCCCCCTGGCTCTATTTTAGAAATTCTATTCTATTCTCCGCCGTTTCTCTCCTAGCTATATTCCAACAAAGAAACACAGGAGACATGAAACCTTTCTGCATCATAAACAGGCACACAGTGAAACACTCGTCAGTGCCATGGCCAGGCACAGGCCGAAGAGGCAGCTCAAAGGGTTAGACACATGTGCTTCCTAAATTTTGTTTTGTGGTCCTCAGGCCTTACTCCTGACCTGTGCTCAGGGATCACATCTGGCAGGACTCAGGGTGACAATGTGGGCAGCTGGGCACGGAACTCAGGTCAGCTGCATGCAAGGCAAGTGCCCCCCTACTGTACTTGCTCTCCAGTCCTTTCGCTTAATTTTTAGTATTTATTTTGGTGGGACGCAATGGTGACATTTAAGGCCCACACGAGGCAAGTGCTCTGTCTCTGAGCCATGTCCCCAGTCTACAAGCACATTCTTTGCATGCCATAACCCTAGGTTCAATCTCCAGCACCGCAAGGTCGACTGAACACTCACGGGAGCAGCCCTTCCAAACCACAATGGCAAAAAGAAACGAGTGTGGGGGAGAGAATCGAATACAATCCTAAAGAATGTTTGTATCAAGACTTTAAATGGCAAAACGGTGTAACAAGCCAAATGCTCACCAACATAGACACAGATTAATAAGTTAGGATATCATCATGCACCATAACATTCACGACAGTAAATATAAATTCCTAGCTCTGTGTGATCAAGGAAAGGTTACGAGAATAAGGGAAATCTTAGAAGACATTCACTGAGATGCGAAACCATACAATTTATTGATGAGACACGAATACAGAGACATATTAACATATATAAACACATAGGATACAGCTTTAAAATAAAAGAGAATGGTTAACTTTAGAATAATGATAACCTCCGGCGGAGCTCAGTGCAGTATATTATTGAAGTATTAGAGTTAAGAGAAGCGTTTACAAGATAGACAGCTTATTAAATCATTTCTAAATTAAGGTCTTAATAGAGAGCCACACATAGAACAGAGATGACAGTATGTCAAGATACAAGAAGCTGAGCTGGAGCGATAATACAGTGGGTAGGGTGTTTGCCTTGCATGCGGCCAACCCAGGTTCGATTCCCAGCATCCCATATGGACCCCTGAGCACTGCCATGAGTAATTCCCAAGTGCAAAGCCAGGAGTAACCCCTGTGCATCGCCGGTGTGACTCAAAAAGAAAAAAACAAAGCAAAACAACCAAGAAGCCAAGCACCCTAACTTGAATGTCTGAGGAAAAAGTAATGCCAGCACCTCAGCCCGGCCTGGCATAGAGGAGCATTATGCTGGAGGAAGGGAGGAAGGAAGGGAGGGAGGGAGGGAGGGAGGGAGGGAGGGAGGAAGGAAGGAAGGGGGAAGGGAAGGAAGGAAGGAAGGGGGAAGGGAAGGGAAGGGAAGGGAAGGGAAGGGAAGGGAAGGGAAGGGAAGGGAAGGGAAGGGAAGGGAAGGAAGGAAGGAAGGAAGCTGCTGAGTGAAGCAGAGGGAGAGATGCCACCCAAAGGCTGAGAAAGGGAAAGCAGCTGGTCAGCTATAACTGGATGACAGGAAAGCCAGGCAAGTAAAGAGTTGCCGGGAGGAAAGAAGGAGCATGAAGTTTCCAGGCAACATTACCTAGCTGTGGGAGGCTCAGCCACCAACACATCTGGTACCCGGTATCTGGGTCGCCGCGGCTCCAGCTCATCAATCCGAATCCGCGTCATGTTCTTCTGAAGCCCCTGGAGCTCCAATACCAGCAACACCTGTGGGGCAGAGGCAAAAGCCCAGAGAGGGGAGAGGTCTCTCACCCCGTTTCCTGCAGAGGGACCTCTCCTCTTTCTAGCCCTTAGATCAAGGGACCTGGGGTTGGAGTTTCCCGCAAAGCTCAAGTCCCTGAAGGGCCAATTTCCCTGCCCCTGACCTTGGTGATGTCGTTGATTATATGGACAGTGAGGCCGTCAGGACCAAGCTGCAGAGAGTCCAGCAAGGCTCGGTAGGGAGAGGCGCCTGGTCGGATGCTTCGCTGGCGCCTGCCAAGTGAAACAGTTCGGGAGGTAGGAGGGCAACCCAATGGCCTTTGGCCCCTCTCTCGCTTGCAGTGAACCCAAGCTACCCTCCACCACACGACACCTCCCCCATGCCACCTGCCTCATTTTCCACCCAGCCCAATGCCCCCAAATGTCATACTTGCAGAAGGAGCTCTCTTCACAGGTCTTAAAGTTGCTTCTATCCACTGCAAGTGTAATTCCCAGGCAGACCCCTAAGCACACCAGCACCAAACTCGTCCGAGACCTAAAGCGAAAAGGACAATTAGCACAAGGGTCAGAAAGGGGCATCCCCTTGAAGCCCAGGCTTCAGTCGCAAGTCTCCAAGGTGAGAAGGGGGGAAGAGGGAATTCCATTTTCCATTCAACTGAGCCGGGGAGCTCCGGTTCAGTGTCAGGCATGGGACTGGCACATTCACACCTCACACCGGCCTGCAGAGTGAAGATGAAGGAAATTCACAGAGACCTTTGACCTTCACAAGCAGACACCATGACACTGACTCTGGTTGCATCAGCCTCTCAAAGGTAAGGAGCAGGCACAGCCAGTCTCCAGGGAAGTGGCAGAACAGAAGAGAAAAGAGGTGTGCACAGGAAACAGTCACGCTTTCCTGAGCAGGGCACTGGGTGAATGACTGAAAATGTTGACAGTGTAACCTGAGCTGGCCTGTTCCCTGAAATCCCAAGCAAGCACCTGGGCATCCTGCTTCTCCAGGACCACCTGTACCTCTCACTACCAAGGCCTAGCAGAGAATACCAGCAGCGAACCCGGGACTGATTCCTCTGTACCCCCAAGGTTTACTACTTTATGCCCCGAGTTCTGAGCTGTCTGCAGTTTTGTTTTGTTTTAAGACTATCAACATCCGGGATCTTAGCTGAGATTCCACGTAACTAGCATGGAGTAGGCTTTTTCAACGGACACAAAGAATATTAGTGGGGAACAAGGGTTCCGAATCACTTCTCTAGAGGCACCGCATCTTTGCCCTTTTTTCCATTGTTTTAGCAAAAGTGCGCCTTGGTTCTCCCACCCAGATGAGATATAAAAGCTTTAATAACTTGTCCAGGACTCAACTACTAGTGAGAGGTGAGAGTGAGGTTGATCTCAGCTCAATCCGTTTCCATCACAATACAGCACATTAACCTCTGGTAGGGCGTCTCATCTAGGACCATCACCTTAACGTCCCCTTAAACTGTCACTCCCCTAAATGATTGGAGCGATAGCACAGGAGTAGGGCGTTTGCCTTGCACGCATCCAACATGGCCGACCCGAGTTCAATTCCTCCGCCCCTCTCGGAGAGCCCCGCAAGCTACCGAGAGTATCTCGCCCGCACGGCAGAGCCTGGCAAGCTCCTTGTGACGTATTCGATATGCCAAACACAGTAACAACAAAGTCTCCAATGGAGACGTTTCTGGGCCCGCTCGAGCAAATCGATGATCAACGGGAGGGCCCCTAAATGACAGAACGGGGGCAGGCAGGCTTTCTACTGGAGCCAGAGGGTTTGGGGGGCGGGGGGGGTTGGAGAGATAGGACAGACAGCAGACAGTGCACTTGCCTTGCACATAGTAGACCCAATGGTCATCCCCTATGGTCTCCCAAGCACTGCTAGGAGTGATCCCTGAGTACAGAACCTGAGTAAGCCTAAATATTGAGAGATGTGTGCCCCCATCCCCAAAAAATACTGAAGAATACTCAACAACTCCAAGTAAATCCTAACCAGGGTTTTTTGACATCTGCTAAGAGTCACCTGTAGTACTTGTTCAATTAAAATATCCAAGCCCAGGGGTCACAGAGAGCAGTGGGTAGAGCACTTGCTTTGCACATGGATGACCTGGGATGAATCCCAGGCACTCCATGACTTCCTGCGCCCACCAGGAATGATCCCTAAGCACAGAGCCAGGAATAAGCCCTGAGCATGGCAAGATGAGGTCCAAAAGGGGAAAAAAAAATTCCAAGCTCCTGGAATCTGCATTTAATATTTGGCTATGAAGATTAATCTCAGGGTCCCATACACATGTGAAATATACATGCTGCTACCAGAAACCTGCCTTTTGCTTATTTAAAAACAGAACTTCCCTTTTGGATTTTGGAAAATACCCAGTGGTGCTCAGGGACCCAGGTGGTACCAGGGCGGCCCCGTCATGCAGAGCAAGTACCCCAACCCATTTTGGAGGTACTCTCCAGACTCAGACCATCCCAGAGGACAGAAACAGACATACACATAGGCTTAGAGGCAATTAAACTGCAAATGACCTGCTGGCCTACTCTCTATATACACTGTATCCAACATTTGCCTCAGTTTAAACTTGAAAGCAAAGAAATTCATCAAGGCAGGAGAGAAAGCAGGCCCTCCAGTTCCAGAAGAAAGTGGAGAAAGGGGGGAATGGGGTGGAGGGGGAGAGGCAAGTCAGCCAGAGAGAGAAGCAAACACCAGGCACTGTGCTGTAAGGGGCCAAGTAAGAGTGAGTAGGAGTCTCACATACAGAAACGCTAGCAGAAAACTGGGGGCTCCTAGCTGGAGGGCTCAGGGCAGACTTACAGCAAGTACCAAATCACTGATGCCCTGGCCCCCCTGCCCAAAGCAGCAGTAATCCGGAAGGACAATGAGTTTAAACCCCTTCTGAAGTCCTATTTGCACAGTCTTAAGAAAAAAAATGGGTCTGCTGGGATGCAGAGGGGAAAGGATTTCGAGCTTCTCGTCCAGGTACGACAGTTGGAGAGTCGCAGGGAGGAGAGAAGGTCTTGACCGGCCCTGGGCTGAAAGTAGCCACAAGCCAATCAATGTCAGGAATGAGGAGCGGGGCATGCGGCACCGTTTGAACTGCCCCAAAGCACAGGCTACTAGAGAACTGACTTTCCCGATCCTCATTTTGGTTTTTTTTTTTTTATCCATTGGTGCACGCCTCTCCCATCCCAATAAATCCGTTAGGTGCTAGGGGAGGGGGGAAAAAAATAAACGCTTTTTGTGGCGCTGGTGATTATTTGGAACCTTTTTTCTTTTTCTTTTTTTTTTTTTCGGAGGAATAGAAACTCGAGCGCAGACCGAACCAGTCCACATGTTGTGCTTGAGCAACATCACGCAGGGAGACTGAGCGGACTCCCGGGTCCGGCCCTGGCCGCGGGCAGCCCCGGCCGGCGTCCACGTGCGGATGAGGCCGGGGCCGGGCGGCGCGGGGAGACGGGCCGGGAGAGCCGGAGGGTCCGGGCAGGTGTGTCCGGCCGGGCGGGGCCGGGGGCGGGGAGGGGAGGTGGTCGCGGGCAGCGCCTCGACCCCCGGGCCCCAGGCCCCGGGCCCCGGCGGAGGGAGGCGCCGGCACCAACGGCCGCGAGTGGGCGGGCGGCGCGGCGGCGGGGGGCGCCCACGGCCCCCCGAGCACACGACCGCGGCCTCCCGCGGCGCCGCGCGAGGGCTCGGGGCCGCCGCCGGAGAAACGACGGGTCCTCACGAGGCCGGGGGCAGGAGGGTCTCCAGAGAAGAAGGATATAGACGGGGTCTGGGGGGGAGGTCCCGGGGGCGCCCCGGGGTTCTGGGCTCCTCACCGCGTCCTACGCGCCGCCAATCCCGCTACCGCCACCGCCGCCATCTTGTGCCGGGTTTGCTCCTTGACCCCGAGCTTCGCCTCCCCCCGGCCCCGCTCGCATTGAGCCACGTCGCTCGGCGCCCGCCCCTTCCGGCCTTCTGATTGGCCCGGCGAGAAAGCGGTCGGGCGGCGGCCCCATTGGCGGAGCGCGCGGGGGCGGGGCCAGGCGGGGCCGGAGGGCGGGGCCAGGCGGGGCCGGAGGGCGGAGACGGGATTGTCCTGAGCCGTTCGCTGTCCAATTTAGCGGGGCTGTTAAGTATCAGAGGCAGGAACTGGAGTGGTGTTTTTTTTTTTTCTCAACTCGGCAAATTTTATTTCTTAAAAAAGTTGGGGGGTGGGGGGTGGGGAAAGTCACAACGCTCTTTAGGCCAAGAGCGAATGAGAGGATCTTCCACCTTTCTGCAGCCCCTTGTCCCCTCTCTCTCTCTCTCTCTGCTCCAATTCCCTCGGCCTCCGGCGCGTAGACAAGGCTATGTCCCCTGCCGAAGGAGAGTGGATGAAGGCGCCTGGAATCGACCGGAGAAAAGGCCCAGGCGGTCGATGTTGCGGTGGAGGACACTGTGCAGTACGGCCAGATGGGCTCCTCCCTCACCGCCTCCCTCCCTGGAGAAGTCCCGGATGAAGCGGCCACGCTCGGACTGGAAGATGAACTTCTGGGGCAAGGGCCCGTGCTCCCGAAGGAACCCCCAGACGCTGAGCAGCAGCAGACGCACTTCGAAAGGTGCCAGCTGGCTGAATATCTCGTGCATGTTACCCAGGGCTGGTGGCAGGAGGCTCCCCTCGGCCATGACAGCCACCAGGGTGCAGGATGCCTCCAGGTGCCAGGGGGAGTGGGTTGTATCAGGATGGCGGGAGGCCTCCCAGTGGCCCAGGAGGGCGGCCAGCAGCCCGCGCAGCAGCACAGAGCAATAGCACAGGGCAGGTGGCGCGGCGGCCACCAGCTTTAGCAGCTCGAAGAGCAGGGGCTGTTCCCTGAAGCGCCGGCCAATGCGGAGATCCCGCTCCACGGTGGCCCGGGCGTGCTCCTCCGGGGGCCAGGCTAGCTCAGCACCAGCCGCGTCGGGGCACACACTCTCCACCAAGGTCACTGCCACTGCTTTGGCGGCCTCCGGGCTCAGGGCAGGCGCGCCCCAGCAGCCCCCACATTCCGTGGTCCCTGGGGCACTGCAGCAGTGCACCAGGAGGCTGAGGAGGCTCTGGGTGTTATAGATCACTTCGTGTCGGTTGCGCGCCTGCACACACTTGGGTGGCTTGAGGCCCCGGCCGATGACTCCCGCGTGGAAAACAGACCAGATGCCTCCCGGGCCTGGCACCGCTGCCGTGTGACGCCGGTTTGTGTCCAACAGGGAGGCGGAAGTCAAAGGAGCCGAGACGGCAGAGAGTGTCTCGTCGTCCCCATCCGCTTCCCCTCCAAACAGTTCCGTGTTGCCCCGATGCAAGGCTCCCTCCACTAGCAGCTGCAGGACTGTCTTGAGGCCAGCCGGGGAGGTCTGAGAGAGGCGGGTGAGGAGCTGGGAGGCCGAAGCCACACCCGGGGGGCCATGCAGTCTGAGAGAGGCAAAGAAGCGATGCACCCCAGCTCTCACCAGTCCCAGGAGTTGGGAGGGGGACAGGGATTCCGGAGGGAAGGGACAGATGGCCAGGAGGGAGGCAGCCGCTTCGGCGACTTCTTCCTCGGGGTGCAAGAGGAGAGGAGCCAGGTCGGACAGGTGGGCCGAGGCAGACTCCCCAAATCGCGCCCCTAGCGCGGCAGGGCCCTCGCCACCCTGCTGTTCCCAGCCCACGAGCAGCGCCAGGTTGCGGAGAAACCGGGCAGTAAAGGGGGGCTGTAGGGTCCCCGCGTGCACCCGAGCCAGGCAGCTTCGGAAGGCCAGGGGCAGGAGGCCCGAGAGACTGACCACCAGCCCGGCGTAGAGCTGCGTAGCCAAGCTCAGTTCTTCGGGGCTCCGGGCCCGGCTCAGGAGATGGCCCAAGGCCTCAGGTCCGCAGCTCGGCCGGGTGTAGACGGAGAGGAGCCCCACGAGCTGGTGCAGCCAGAGGAATCGCTTCCGTTCCAACCGCAGTGTCTCTCCACAGAGCTCGCCCACGTGGTTCCGCAGAGCATCGAGAAAGGGAACGGGCCGGGGGTGGGGGGGCGGGCCGAGCACCCCTTCCCCAGGAGACCCTCCCCGGTGATGAACCAGTTTTTGCAGGTGGAGCAGCAGCAGCTGGATGAGCCGGTCACAGGCCTCGCGTACAGTGTCTGGCACCGCCAGGCCCTGGGTGGTGATGACGGAGGCGGGCATGGCTGTGTCCACCAGGAACTGGAGCAGGCGGTAGGCGCCGGGCCCGGAGGCCTGGCTCACCAGGTGCACGGCCAGGTTGAGCATGTTGTCCAGCTCCTCTCGGGGGAAGCCCTGCAGGTGCTGTTGCAGCTGGCTCAGCACGGCCGGGGGCTTCAGGCAGTCCACCAGCTCGCTGGACACCGTGCCCAGCAGAGCGGGTGACATGACCGCTAGCTGGAGCAAGAAGGGAACCGTGGCCTGCAGGGTGGGGTCCCCACTGCGGCCCCCCGTGCCCGCAGCCAGGCTATCGTGGAACATGCGCAGGAGCTCTCGTCGGATGCTGTCTCCGTGGCGGGAGGCCAGGTGCCCCAGGATGCCCACCACCGAGGCGATCTTGGGCACCCGTTTGTCCCCAGGGACAGCAGGAGATCCCGGGAAGGGGTCCGCGGAAGGGTTCTGAGAAGAGCTTCCGCCACTACCACCAGCGCCGCCTCCAGCCCCACTGTGAACACAGAAGTCCTTGAGGCCACACGAGAGAACGCGGGAGATGATGGTGCCGGGAAAAGAGGAGCCGATGTGCGCCACGACCCAATCGAAGTGTGGAGAGTGCTGGACGGACGTATCCAGCAAGGCATCCACGCAGGCATCTGGGCAACTCCCAATGAGCGCCGAGAGGCACTGCACATAGATGTCCATCAGCGTGCGGGTGGCCCGACAGCCCATCCACAGCTGCAACAATTCGTTCAGAGAGCCCGTGGCATGGGGCACACGCTGGTGCTGCCCTGAGTACGTGCTGCTCAGCTGCCCCATGAGGTCAATGGACCACGCACTGATCACCGGTGCCCATGCCTTCGGGTTGGCCCGGATGAACTCAGACAGTACCTGCTGCACTTCCTGTACCACATCCTCTAGACCAGGTCCCCCGGCAGGGACGTGGGAGGGTGGCGGTGGGCGGAGGTGAGGGGGGCCAGGCAGGGGGCTTTCGTCCAGGGCGGCCAGGTGGGCCCGGACACTCTCGTCAAAGACCCCTCGCAAGTGGTCGAGCACGGCAGCCCGAGCAGGTGGCAAAGAGCGGAGGAGGAGGAGACCACAACGAGCATGTTCCCGGGCGGAGAGCTGGTGGCCCAGAATGGGGTCCACGCCGGTCAGAAAGGCCTTGATTTCCTGGGACAGCTCCTGGGCACTGTAAGGAAGCAAGAGCGGCGGACTTAGAATGTTGGGAGGCGTTCAGCCAAGTCCTGTTCTGGCTGGGCGCTGGTTTCTTCCTATGTCAAGTGGAATCACTGCTCGGCCGTTCTACAGTAATGTTCCTACAGCACGTACCCTCCCTACCTAGACCACACTCATCACTCGCTAAATTATGCTATCCTCTCCATCACGCTATCAATATTAGGCAACTTGCAGTGTTTACTGCATAGAGATACTTCCCACGAATTACTGCACTGCAGACAAGGTGGAGACTTAATGGCAATACCATCTTACAAATGAGGAAAGACGTTAAGTCATTAGACTTAGGATAGTAAGCATTTCTGGGCTTTTCAACATGAAATTCCCTTCTTCCTGCAAGTAATAAATATTGGAATAAGTCTACTGGGTGTTTCTCTTAACAGGTCTTCAAACTACTGCAGGACAGGAATAACCATCCCCCTTCCCCCCCAATACACACACACACACACACACATACACACACACACACTCTTCTGAACAATTCTTCCTCAGTGCAAAGAATCTGGGAAGCTGTCCCCTCTTAAGGGTGGTGGTTGGGGGGGTGTTGGTTGGTATCTGTTTCTCCCCACATTTTGCCAGCATCTCCACCTCCTGACACTTGAACTCCTCCCAGACACCCAACAAAGCCCTGCCCAGCCCCATGCTGGTGCTGAGCAATCCAGGAGTCCGTGCAGTCACGGGGATGCTTTTCAACCCTTTCTCTGCTGAAGCATGAGCTCAGAAGCCGGTGTGATGAAAAGAGGCAAAAATCCCCTTCCTTTTAGCATCTTTTCCGCCCCAGGCAGCCTCCTGTCCAGGATGACAGGGCTCTGGGGGGGTGCTGTTTTTCTCCGGTTCTTCCTCCCCTCCCCAAAGAAATGAAAAGAAAAAAAAAACCTAAAAACACCTTAAGGAGGGTGTCTATGGCAGGCAAGAAAATGAAGCATTCTGTGCATTTCTGGGCCTGTTCGCCGTGAAATCGGGGGGTCCCTGGGGTCCCCTAGGTTCTATAAAGGGCAGGAAGGGGTCGGGGGGGGGGGGTCCCAAGAGTTCTCCAGAGTCCCAACTCTTGGAAAAGCAAGGCCGGGCTGCGGGGTTACGGGCTGAGCGGAGGCACGATCGGGCTCTCGGCGCGGCGGGCGCTGGAGCCCGGGGTCGGGGGGCGGCTGCGCCTGGGTTCTGCGGAGCCCCGAGCCGGGACCACTGAGAACCTTGCGGCGAGTTCTCGAGGCAGGAACCGGGTCTGCGCCGCGAAGGTCGGGGCCGCGCGGCGAAGGGGGAAATGCCAGGGGCTCTGACTACCTGAGCGGCGCGGGACCAGGGTGGGTGGCCGGGGCGGGCCCGGGAGGCCCTGGGGCCCCGGGAGGGTCGCACAACGCGGACATCCCGGAGCCCGAGCCCGAGCCCGAGGCGGGAGCGGCGGAGCGCAGGCAGCGCATGCGCGCGGCCGGGAGGCCCAGGAGGAACCAGCGGGAGGCCTCCCCGGAAAAGCCGTCCGGCCACGCCCGCGGCGCCCGCACATTGGTTCCGGGCTGCAGCGGGGCCCGGGCCCGAGAGCCGGAGCGCAGGCCGGGCGGAAGTCGGCCTGCCCCGGCAGGCACCCCTTCCCTTCCTCCCCTCCTGGGGGCCGTTGCCCCACCGCCGCTGTTCCCACGGTGATTTTGTTTATTTCTTCCGAAGGCCTAAAGTACAAAACGTTGGACTCGCGCGGTTTTTCGAACGGGAGCACGGGGGATCATTCGGAAACGGGACAATGGAATAGTCACGAGGGAAGGGAGGGATGGAGAAAGTGAGACCAAGAGAGACCTCGTTAAAGAATAAAAGGAAGAGCGGCGATAGGACAGCGGGGACGGCGTTTGCCTTGTATGTGGCCGACCTGGGTTCGATCCCCGGGATCCCATAGGGTCCCCTGAGCACCGCCAGGAGTGATTCTTGAGCGCAGAGCCAGAAGTAAGCCCTGAGCATCACCGGGTGTGACCCAGAAAAGCCTAAATAAATAAATAAATATTTAGAAAATTTAAAAGAATGGAGAGAGGAAGTACGAGGTAAACTGGGTTGACACCCTAGAAGGAGTCGGTGACCAGTCGTTCCATCCATTTCTTTGGTTGGACTGGCCTCTCCCGGCAAGTGTCCAGCCCAGGACACTCCCACCTGCTTGTCTGCAGAGAAGGAACCTTCAGCTTGTCACTTCATCAGAGCCTGACCCTAGCCATCTTTCCGCATCAAAGTTCCAGTTAGCCAACTTACTAGCTGCATAGTTAACTTTTTTTTTTCTCTCATTCTCACTTATTGGTTTATGGGTTTGAGGGCCAGTCCTGGCTGTACTCACAATGAACTCCTGTCTCTGTGCTCTTAAATCATCCTGGCAGTGCTCAGAGCACTATATGTGGTGCCCTAGTTCAAAACCTGGTCAGCCACAAGCAAGGCAAGTGTCTTAGTGGATATCGTATCTTTCTGGCCCCGGTAGTTGAAAGCTTCCTCGTCCTAGGAAGAAGGATGGATGGACATAGTACAAATACCTCTCTTACAGTGATTTAACTTAAAAAAAATAAAAACCTCCTAAAGCCCTTTCCTCCCCACCCCAACGAGACCCACGATCGGCCTCTCTGGCTCCTGATCAAGCTGCTTAATGCCCATGATCCCAGAGACTCAGGAATAGATCTCAGAACCTAGCAGGTTTTGGCAGAAAATCTCTCCAGATTTGGGTGTTAAAATTTCGGAGTTTCAAAATTGCACAGCCACTACTGCAGCCGCGTGACATCATATGTTGGTCATGACCAGCAATAGGAAACAAATTTTCTACTGTTGCCTTTTCGACAGATCTGAGTGTTGGGGTAAAATCCCAAATAATAATGGTGGGTGTGGTGTCAAAATGTTGAATGTGATCAAAGTATAGAGAGAGTGATTTGGAAATCATCTGCCCCACACGTAGGGGGAGAGTGTGAAATGGGGGCATACTGGGGTTTTTGGTGGTGGAGAATGGGCACTGGTGAAGGTACGGGTGTTTCATTGAATGACCGAGACTTAAACCCGAAAGCTTTGTAACTGCTCTCACGGCGATTCTACAAATAAAATTATAAAAAATGGGGGGGGGGGGGAAGTGAGGTGGAGTTCATGCAAAATTCAATCAGCCTAATCAGTGGCTGAATAAATAGCAGTACTCCTACATTAAAAAAAAAACTAACAGGGGCTGGAGAGATAGTACAGTGGGTAGGGCGTTTGCCTTGCACGCAGCCGACCCGAGTTCGATTCCACAGCATCCCATATGGTCCCCTGAGCACCGCCAGGAGTAATTCCTGAGTGCAGAGCCAGGAGTAACCCCTGTGCATCACCAGGTGTGACCCCAAAAAGCAAAAAAATAAAAATTAAAAAAACTTAAAAAAAAAACCCTCCTAAGGTTGTTGGGAATATTGGAATCAAGTAATAAATTTCTAGTGTAGCACTATTTATAATTAGCTTTTTAAAAACCGTTATTAGGGGGCTGGAGCAATAGTACAGCGGGTAGGGCGTTTGCCTTGCATGCGGCCGACCCGGGTTCGATTCCCAGCATCCCGTATGTCTCCTGAGTACCACCAGGGGTAATTCCTGAGTGCAGAGCCAGGAATAACCGCTGTGTATCACCGGGTGTAACCCAAAAAAGCAATAAATAAATTTAAAAAATGTTATTATAGGGTGTTGGAGCAACAGTACAGTGGGTAAAGCACTTGCCCTGAATGAAGCCAACTCGTGTCCCCCAAGCACACCAGAAGTGATCCCTGAGTGCAGAGGCAGGGGTAAGCCATGAGCACTACCCCCACCTCTCCACCCCTTGCTCATGCTGACAAATGCTTTTACAAAATCAAAACTTCAGTACAATTTGGTGGGTATTTTTTGCTTGGTTTGTTGTTTTTCTGTTTTGTTCTTGTTCTGATTTGGGGCCACACCCCCAGAAACTCAGGGTTTACTCTGGGCTCGGTGCTCAGGGATCACTCATCGCAGTATTTAGGGAACCATATGTGATGCCAGGGATAAAACCAGAGTCCACCGCATGCAAGGCAAGAGCCATGCTCTGGCTACATCTCTGGCCTGAAACCTTAATATGATTTAATGAAGCTATCATATTTTCCAGGGAAGCATTCTTGGTAATGCTTCTGCATGCAAGGAATATGTTCCACCTTTGAAAAATCTCCTCCCCTGCCTTTTTTTGGGGGGGTGGGGGGTGGTAGGTCACACCAAACATGTGACTCAGGAGCACTTGTGAAAAGATACATGACAGTGCTGGGGCATTGAACAGTGGTGGGCATTGAACCCTGCCTTTCCCTGATTTTGTTTTCCAATTTGATGAACGAGTTCCAGAAAATAAGCCCTTTGACAAAGAGACTTTGCCTATTTTGTGAAAAGTTAATAACCTTGCCATCTACCAGTGTCTGCCAGGTGTGAAGTAGATTCTCACTAAGGAGCCTTTGGAGGGCCCGAGTGACAGTATAGGGGTTAATGTGTGTACCGTGTGCACCGCTGCAGCTGAAAAGGATCAAATTCTACGCATTTTTTTTTTTCCCGTTGGGGCAGGGGGCTATGCCCAGTGATGCTAAGGGCTTACTTCTCACTTTGCACTCAAGGCTCATTCCTGGCGGGCTCAGGAGACTATAGGAGTTATAGGGACCAAACCCAGTTTGGCTGCATGCAAGGCAAGCTCTCTACTCACTCTACTATTGCTCTGGCTCCAAATTCTGCACATTCTAGGGACCTTTGAGCATTGTTTGGGCTGCCCCCTGCCCCTACAATAAAATGCTTTTGAAGTGATCACATTTTTAAAACAATGTCTAATTGTTTTTTTTTATTTTTTTATTGTTAGTTATTCTAGTTATATGCTCATGGATCACTCCTGGCAGGGCTTGGGGACCATATGTGGTACTGGGATCAGTCCCATGCAAGGCAAGCACCCTACCCGCTTTATGACCTCTCAGGCACAATCCAGTGACATTTTGCAAGGGAGAAGGCTACTGGGAAGAGGAAGCGCTAGATTACATGCTTTGCAATCAAGAGGTTATATATGGTCCCAGATACCACATGGTACCCCTAGCTAGAAGTAGCTCCTGGGAATGTGGGCCCCAAACCCAAAATAAATAAAAGAATGGGGCTGGAGCCATAGCACAGCAGGTAGGGCTTTTGCCTTGCACACGGCTGACCCAGGTTCAATTTCCAGCATCCCATATGGTACTCTGAGCACCGCCAGGAGTAATTCCTGAGTACAGAGCCAGGAGTAACCTCTGTGCATTACCAGATCTGTCACTGTCACTATCCTCCTGTTGTTCATCAATTTGCTCGAACGGGACCAGTAACATTGTGAGACTTGTTACTGTGTTTGGCATATCGAATACGTCACGGGGAGCTTGCCAGGCTTTGCCGTGTGGGCAAGATACTCTCGGTAGCTTGCTGGGCTCTCTGAGAGGAGCAGAGGGATCAAACTTCAGTTGGCCATGTCGACCATGTCGGCTGCGTCCAAGGCAAACGCCCTATACACTGTGCTATTGCTCGCATTATCAGGTATGACCCCCAATTTTTTTTAATATATAAATAAACAAATGGTAATAAGGAATTTTCTTTCTGGATTATATCACACCCACCACCTGGCCCCCTGGTGCTGTGTAATCCCATCAATGGCCAAGACTCAGAGACTATAAAACCCAGCTCCCGGAAGTGCACAGCCGCATTTGCGGCTGCGTGACATCTTATTATCTCATTCCTACTTTGGACAAACTGGCAGGCTACCGAATGTAACCTGCCCACACGGCAGAGTCTGGCAAACTCCTCGTGGCGTACCCAATATGCCAAATACCAGTAACAATGAAGGGTCTCATTCTCCTAACTCTGAAAGATCCTTGAATATGGCACTTTTTTAAAAATCTCAGGGCTAGGACGAAGGAGACGTTACTGGGGCCTGCTCGAGGCAATCGACGAATAACAGGATGGTCGTGATCGTGATATCCAATAAGTAAGAATAGAAAAATGACAGAAAATGGTAAATAGAACACCACCATGCAAAGGCAGTAACAGGCTCAAGGAAATATGCCTTGCATGTGTTATGACCTGGGTGGTTCTATCCCCAGCACTTTAGAGAGAGAGAGAGAGACAGACAAACAGACAGACAGACAGAGAGAATAAGGATGCTATAACCATGGGGTGAAAAGTCATCAGAACTAGGATTAGTTATGAACTATAAAGGGAAAAGTTGTCTTAACAGCTAGGAAATCTGACTCACTTAACCATGTTTCTAGGGTTTGTTGTTTGGGGGCCACACCCAGCTGTGCTCCTAGTGTGGCCTGGGGGACCACATATGGGTGCTGGGTATTGAACCAGGATTGGCTGTGTACAAGACAAGCACTTTCCCTGCTACAGTATCGTTCTGGTCTCTTAAATAAGTTTCGGTATCTAGAATCACCAAAACTGAAATAACACAGATGCTACATACACCCCAATGGAATGTGGTCGAGTACATCCAAATTGTAGGACAGCCTTAAATAAGACTGGACATTTCACACATACCGTCTAACAGTAAAGTAGGTAAGGTGCTTGCCTGGCATGTGATCAACCCAGATTCAATCCCTGGCACTCCATATGATCCCCCTTACCCCACAAGGAGTGATCCCTGAGCACAGAGCCAGGAGTAAGCCAAGTATCACCACTATGACCCCAAACCTACCAAATATAATTTTAATATAATAAAATCTTATGCAAACACAGAAAATAAAAAGTCATCTAAGATAAGGTAGAGGGTCCTGTTCCGGACTGAAGGAGACTAAATAGGCAAGACAGTCACATGCAGTGTGATCACTTGGAGAAACAGCTTTGAAGAGAGATAGGACAACAGAAAGGGCACGTGCATTGCACAGAATGACTGGGGTTCGATCCCCAGCATCTCTTATGGTCCCCTCAAGCATGGCCAGGAGTGATTCCTAAGAGCCAAGAGTAACCATTGACACTAATAAGAATTTAAGGAAAAAATAAATAAATAAATAAAAGCATATTAAACAAAACAAAAAAAAGTAACCACTGAGCACTACCGGATGTGACCCCCTCTCCTCCTAAAAACATTGTACTGGTGGTCAGACAGTACAGTTGGTAGGGTACCTTCCATGCACGTGGTCGACCTGGTTTGATCATGAGTACCCCATATGGTCCCCAGAGCACTATCAGGAGTGATTCCTGAGCACAGAGCCAGGAGTAAGCACTGAGCACCTTAGAGTGGGGCTCAGAAAACCAGTATTTTTTTTTTTATTGAATCCTGTGAGCTACAATTACAAAGCTTTCATGTTTGAGTTTCAGTCATACAATGATCGAACACCCATCCCTCCACCAGTACACATTCTCCACCACCAATGTCCCCACCTCAAAAAAAAAAAACAATAATTTTATGGGTCTTGTGTATCTTGCCCACAAGGTAAAGCCTGGCAAGCTACCTCTGACTTATTTGATATGCCACACACAATAACTAATCTCACAATTGAGACATTACTGTGCCAGCTCCAGCAAATCCATGAACAACTGGAAGATAGTGCTACAGTGTATTACCAAGCAATTAACTTAGTAGCACTGTAGCACTATAAGGGGGCCCAGTAATGTCTCCATCCCATCCTGAGACTTGTTGTTGCTGTGTTTGGCATATGGAATACGTCACGGCTAGCTCGCCAGGCTTTGCTGTGCAGGCGAGATACTCTCGCTAGCTTGCTAGGCTCTCCGAGAGGGGTGGAGGAATCGAACTTGGGTTGGCCACACAAGTTAATTCCCAAAAAGTGCTTTCTGGTAAGAAAGGAACAGAATGATAGTACAGTGGGTAGAGTGCCTTGTGCATGTGGCTGACCTGCATTGGATCCCCGGCCAGAAACCCTGAGCACTGTTGGGCGTGGACCTTCCACCAAAAAAAATTTTAGAGGGCCAGAGCGATAGTGCAGCAGGTAGGATATTCGCCTTGCACACGGCCGACCTGGGTTCAATCCCCAGCATCCCATATGGTCCCCTGAGCACTGCCAGGACTAATTCCTGAGTGCAGATCCAGGAGTAATCCCTGAGCGTCACCAGGTGTGATCCAAAAGCAAAATACTAATAATAAATTTTAAAAATCTTTTAAAGAAATGTTTTAGGGCTGGGCTCTGGTTTATGGTAGAACACATGCATTGTGCTGTAAGGCCTTGATGCAATCCCCCATCCCACAACAAAAATTAAAAAAATTTAAGATTACTATCTTAAGGGTAGGGGTAGGGACAGAGCTGATATAGTACAGGGGATAAGATGCTTCCCTTGTAATGCAATGTGCCAGGTTTGATCCCTGGCATACCACTAGGGGTCATTCCTGAACAATGTTTTTAATGTTTCTGTTTTTTTCTTTTTGGTTTTTGGCTTTTGGGTCACACCTGGTGATGCACAGGAGTTACTCACTCTTGGCTTTGCACTCAGAAATCACTCCTGGCAGTGCTCAGGGGACAATATGGGATGCTGAGAATTGAACCTGGGTCAGCCGCGTGCAAGGCAAACGCCCTAACCGCTGTGCTATCGCTCCAGACCCAGTCCTGAGTACTCTGGACTTTGCTCCCAAACCCAACAAACAGGAGCCTGGATGAATAACCCTAATCCTAAACCAAAATAAACAAATACCAAATATAACACTGGGCCCAAGCCCTCCTCAGCTGGTTAAATCAGGCAGGGAAAGAAGAGGTTGTTTATCGGTTTTGTTTTTGTTTGGGGGCCACACCTGGCAATGCTCAGGGGTTCCTCCTGGTGGTGCTTGGGAAACTATATGGGATACCGGGAATCGAAGCCGCATTCTATGGCTCTGAGCCCAGCAAGAAAAGGTTTTCTCTTTCAACTCCCAGCCCGGGCTTCCGACCAACAGGATTTTCGGAACATTAGCAGGTAATCTTTGGTGATGATTTTATAGAACGCAGCCCAGGAAGCAGAACCAAACATGGCCAAAGTGGTATCTGACCGGGGCTGGAGCGATAGCATAGCGGGTAGGGCGTTTGCCTTGCACGCGGCCGACCCGGGTTCGATTCCCAGCATCCCATATGGTCCCCCGAGCACCTGAGCACCGCCAGGAGTAATTCTTGAGTGCAGAGCCAGGAGTAACCCCTGTGCATCGCCAGGTGTGACCCAAAAAGAAAAAAAAAAAACCCTACACACATAGGGGTCCCATCTCCCTCTGGCCACGGTGCCCCCAGAGAGGTTGGCTTCTCATTACCTCCGCTCAGATCAGCTCTTGGCTCCTTCCAGGACAGCCTGCCTTTACCCAGCACCCACATTCCGACACTGAACCTCACACACCTCAGAGGCAGTCCAGGGCTTTATTACAAATGGAGCTGACGGCTGTGCACAGTGGGGCCGTGTCCAGCTAACTCCATGCAACACATCCTTCCCCGCGAGTCCCGTTCTGGAAGCCCAGAGCCTGCCCGGAAGAAGGCAGAGGGAGAGCGAGCAAAAAACGGCTTGGGCACAAGTCCTGGTTCCAGCTGCGAAGCTTTGGGCCTCCGTGCTGAGGGGTCCTTAGCTCTCATCTCCCAGGTCTTCCATGTCTACATCTTGGGGGGCTTTTGGCTTCTTTTGTCTCTTGGGCTGCGGTTCGCTAGTCCTGACTGGCTTGGGAGGTGCTTCCACTGAGCAAAAGAAGAGAGAGAGTATTAAAGGCAATAAATCCAGATGGTGCCTGTACCCCCACTCTGAGCCCCCGGCCTCACCATCCATGGCTGCTTTCTCTTTCTGGGCAAGTCGGATCTGCTGCAGGAGTTTTCTGCGCTTCTTCCCAGACAGAGTGATGTTGGCACGGGAACTGGACCTGAGGAGATGGCAAAGTGGACGGCCAGCTTAGAGGCGAGGGTAGTGGCACAGTGGACATGAGAAAAATTGATTTTTTTTTTTTTTTGCTTTTTTGGTCACACCTGGAGATGCACAGGGGTTACTCCTGGCTCTGCACTCAGGAGTTACTCCTGGCGGTGCTCAGGGGACCATATGGGATGCTGGGAATTGAACCCGGGTCGGCCGTGTGCAAGGCAAACACCCTACCCGCTGTGCTATCTCTCCAGCCCCCAGCAATGAGAAAAATTGAGCCCTGTCCTTCCTGTTCTTTTTTTTATTAAAAAAATTTATTTTTATTTTATTGAATCACCATGAGATCGTTACAAAGCTTTCATGTTTGAGATTCAGCCATACAATGATCGAACACCCATCCCTCCACCAGTGCACATTTTCCACCACCAATGTCCCCAGTATCCCTCCACCCCCATCCCAATCCTCATCCTGCTTCTGTGGCAGACAATTTCCCAATACTCTCTACCTTGTGGCATTATGTTTTGGAGCTTTTTTTTTTTTCCTTTCTAGGTCACACCTGGCAATGCACAGGAGTTACTCCTGGCTCATGCACTCAGGAATTACTCCTGGCAGGGCTCGGGGGGACCATAAGGCATGCTGGGAATCGAACCCGGGTCGGCTGCGTGCACGGCAAACATCCTACCAGCTGTGCTATCACTCCAGCCCCAAGGGAGGGGACATTTTGTTCTGCTTGAATGTTCCCACCATCATTCAAGCCTGCCTGCCAGGGACAGACGCTAGAAAATTTATTTTCCATTGATCATTTTGAGTATCGTGAGAGCTCACGCAGCCACAGAAGTGGCCACGTGCATCTGGAATCCGAGATTGTAAATAATTGGGTTCCAGAGACATCTCTGTAGGGCACTAATCCGTTTTTGCTGACCCCTGTTCTTAAGGAGGAGAGAACTAGGTCCCTGTCACCCTATTTCCATCATGAACAGCCAGGCAGCCAGAGAAATGAGCAGCTCCCGGGAATAGACTGCTACTATGAGATTTGTGTGGGATAAGGGTGGAATAACCCCCTACCTTGTGGCTGCAGAATCGGCATGGAGCGCTGACGCTGCTAAGTAAGGAGTGTGGTTAAGGAATTCGGGCTTCTGGACCCTCTCACCTTCTGCCTGTGAATGCCCCAGCCCCCGAGATATACTCAGCCCCCACCTTTGTTCTGGGCCCAGAAAAAGAAGATGAACTCCATCTGGGTCCAGTGTGAATTCAAGTGTGAATAAATCCTACTTCTAAAGCTTTGTGAGTGATATTTGGTTTTTCCCAGTGTGACCAGGTCATAATCCCACAACAATAAAGCGTCTGCCTCACATGTTGGGGGACCTGTGTTTGACCTCAGCACCGCATGTCCTCGAAGCCCACCCAGCACCCTACTCCCAGTATATATCCCACAAACGATGGATTGATCAATCAGACATCCAGGTGAACTTGAACCTTTCTGGTTGTTGAAGGCCCTAGGACTCGTATCACAGAATTATTTGAAAATCGGGCACTCAATTAATGAGTTAAATCTCTCCGGGGGTGTGGAGAGGGGGATCTCTCCACGGGGCCAATGAAATAGTACAGCAGGAAGGGTGTTTACCATGCACGCGGCTAATCTGGATTTGATCTGTGGCACCCCACATGGTCCCCTGGGCACTACCAGGAGTGATCCCTGAGCACGAGCCAGAAATAAGGTCTGAGTACTGCTGGGTGTGACCCAAAACCCAAAACCCAAAACAAAACATGTGTCTCCCAGTATGTAAACATCAAGTTTCCTTGATACTAATCTCAACACAGATCTCAGAAATAAGTATCAAATGAAGTACCCATAGATGGGATATACTGATGGCTTGAAGGGCTGGAGGACATGTTTTGCAATGGAGTATCCTGGATTTGATCCCCTACACCTCAAGCATCCCCTAGCAGCCGTGGAAGAGCTAGAGGAGGACCTGAGGAGGTGGGGCCTTCGAGGGGGATGGATCCTGACAGCACCATGGGTGGCCCAAAAACTTTACTCAATAAAAAGGATCAGAGGGACCAGAAAGATAGTAGGTACAGTGGGAAGGGTGCTTGCTTTGCACATAGACAACCAGGGTTCGATCCCCAGCATCCCATCTGGTCCCCTAAGCCTCTCCACGAGTGATCCCTGAGTGCTGAGCCAGGAATAAGCCTTGAGCATCGTGGGGATGACCCAAACACTTCCCCTCCCCAAAATCCATAAATAAAAGAATCTGAGACTGTGATTCAATTATAAAAAGCAAATTAAAAAAAAATAAATAAGGGTGGTGGTGGTGGGAGGGATACTGGGGTCCTTGGTGGTGGAGAATGGGCACTGGTGGAGGGATGGGTACTCGATCATTGTAAAACTGAAACCCAAGCACAAAAATTTGTAAATCTACAATTGTACCTCATGGTGTTTCACTGGCACTGTCTGCACTATTCTCCCACTGTTCACCGATTTGTTCGAGCGGGCCCAGTTACGTCTCCATTGTGACAATTGTTACTGTGTTTGGCATATCGAATATGTCACGGGGAGCTTGCCAGGCTTTGCCGTGCAGGAGATATTCTCGGTAGCTTACCGGGCTCTCTGAGAGGGGCAGAGGAATCGAACTCGGGTCAGCGGGGTCGGTCACGTGCAAAACAAATGCCCTATCCTCTGTGCTATTGCTCCAGCCCATAGTGTCTAGGAGAGTTGAGATTTTGTCTTCTATTCTCTTATTACTGAGTTGAGGAATGTGGAATCCAGAACGTGACCACCCTGCATTGTTAGTCATCAGAGCTGCTGTTAATAAATAAACAAATAAAAGAATCTGAGAGACGGGCTGTGAGAAGCCTGCTTTACAATGCAGGTGACATGAAAGTGGTGACCTGTGACACTGAGCCTGAACCCGCAGGACCTGGCATTCCTTCCAGGTAAGTCCATAGTGCCACCCGCAGGTCACTGAGAACTACTGGATGTGGAAAAATTATCCTGACACATTTGGTGAGTGAAGAATTTAGAAGAGAAAAATTTTCTCAGGCCCAGAAAGATAGCACCGGAGTAAAGCTCCTGTCTTGCATGCAGCTGAACCCGGTTAGATCCCCAGCACTACCTACACACCCCCGTGCACCTCTACAGTGACCCCTAAGCACAGAGCCAGAAGTAAGCCCTGACACCACCAAGAGTGATCCCTGAGCAATCCCCCCACCAACTTTACTGTGTAAGTTTCCACTTAAGCTAAAGTTTTAACTTAAATTTAAAATATTTCATTTCATTTTTTTTAACTTGAAGGGGTGGGCTGGAGTGATAGCACAGTGGCTAGGGTGCACACGGCCGACCTGGGTTCGATTTCTCCGTCCCTCTCGGAGAGCCTGGCAAGCTACCCAGAGTATCCTGCCCGAACGGTGGAGCCTGGCAAGCTCCCCGTGGTGTATTCGATATGCCAAAAACAGTTAACAAGTCTCACAATGGAGGGAGACGTTACTGGTGCCCACTCCAGCAAATCGATGAACAACGGGGGGACAGTGCTACAGCGCAACTTGAGGGGCACACCAGAGGTGTTACAGGGCTACGTAGGGCTGGTTCCAATCTGGGAGACCATGTGATGCCTGGGGACTCTTGCATACAAAGTATGCCCTCAGCCCCACATCCCAAATGTATTTATTTACCAAACCACAAATACCTGAACAGAGATCTCTAAAGAATAGTCAATGAAGGGCTGGAGTGATAGCACAGCTGGGAGGGCATTTTTACCTGGCACAAGGCCGAACCTGATCCCCAGCATCCCCTATGGTCCTCCAAGCACCGCCAGGAATAATTCCTGAGTGCACAGCCAGGAGTAACCCTGAGCATCGCTGAGTGTGGCCCAAAAAGCAAACAAAAATAAAATAAATAAATAAATAATCAATGAAAAAAGGCAGCATTCCCAGGATGAGAGACCTTGAAACTTAGATGCAAAAAATGCCACGCGTGCCTTGGGGGAAAACCCACTCGGTTGTACGTACACGTCACGCGCGTGCTGGCGGATGGGTTAAGAACCCACGTGAGTTTATGAACGTCCGGCGACTCCTGGGCAGGGCATGGGAGTGGGCGGCTCACCCTGGGACTCCCGGGGGGATCCGAGCCCCCAGAGACAGACTCTAAGATGTTGGAAAGCAAGCAGAGCCGCGTGCACGCCGGCGGCTCGGGAGCAGGGGCAGGGAGGTAGGAGCCGGTCCGGGCATGCAAGGACGTGAGCACTCACGCGCGTTTCTTGAGGTGGTGCCGCGTGATGAGCCCCTCGTCGACCACCGCCCCGACCACCCGGTGCTTGAGGCGCCGCTCGCGGGTCAGCATCCGCCGGCGCTTGAACAGCTTCTTCTTCAGCTCCTGCAGCAGGGGAGGAGGGAGATGCCAATCAGACGGAGCCGGGGCTCCGGGGTCCCGCACCCACCCATGTCATCGGGGTGAGACCGGCAGGCTCCGAGGGCCCGGTTAGACACCCAGGCGGGGAGGGGGGGATTCCACCCAGTCACCGTGCGCGGACGGTTGATCTTCCCTCCCGGGCACCCCATGTCTGCGCGGTCACAGCCAACTCCCCGACCGGCGTTTCCGCTCTGCGCCGGCGCCGGCCACGCCCCCGACCCTCCACGAGCCAATAGCAGATAGGGGGCGTGGCCTAGCTGTATATAAAGTCGCAGCCGGGCAGGACCTTTCTTTCCGGAGCGGCTGCTTGGTAATGATCCTCGTGGTTTGCTTTGCTCGCGCTGCAGGCGTGCGGGAGGGTTTCTGCGGGGAATCTGGGGCGGGGGGTGGACCCTCCTTTTCTTGGCGGGTATCGGGCGTGCGGTCCCGATACCCGTAATGTTCGGAGGCAGAGGGCAAGGGCGCCTCGCCCCTCGGCGTCATGTCTTCGGTGCCGGCGGCTTGCCATCCGCCGGTTCTATCCTCAAGCGCCGGGACACGTCACTGCAGCGGGACAGAGCGAGGCGGGCTCGGCGGGCACCTCCTCCTCGGGTCCCCTAAACACGCTCCTCTTTATCATTTCAGGCCCCAGCAGCCGGAACTGTCGTGTGTCCTTCCCCCACCCCATCCCCGCCTCGCCGAGCGTGGCAACCAATAAAGACCGTTGTTGTGTACCGTGGTCGGTGTGTCCCGAGTTCTGTGTTTCCGCGGCTGTCGCCGGGCGTGGTAGCGCGCGGTGTTCGCGGCGCCGGGATCGTAAAGGCGGCCTCGGATCCCGTGGCACTGCCAGAGCTTCCCCGTGGCCTCGGGATGGCAGCGCTGCGCGGAGCGCTCCGAGTGGCCACGCTGACGGCGGGGGCGCGCCGTGCCGAGTCGGGTACGCACCGGGGGTGGGGGGGGCTGGGGGTGGGTGGGCAGAGGGTGAGGTCAGCGGGTTATCGGATCCTTGGTTGTCTGGGCCCTGGCCCTGAAGTGTCCGTTAAGGCCCCCGAGGAACATTGCGTCTCCTTTGGTCGCGATGGCGCCGCTCAGCCTGCCATGTGACAGCCCCCTCCCCACGTGCCCACAGGCTCCCTGGCCAGTAGCTGTCTGGCTGACCGCCGCCTCTGGGATCAGCTCCATGCCCGGCCCCGACCGGGTAGCAGCCCCACCTTCGACTGGTTCTTTGGCTACGACGAAGCCCAGACCCTTCTCCTGCCATTTCTGCAGAGGGCACCGGCAGCGGGACCAACGCGGGTGCTGGATGTGGGCTGTGGCACCTCTGGCCTGTGCATGGGCCTCTACACCAAGTGCCCACACCCTGTGGATGTGCTCGGGGTGGACTTCTCTCCTGTGGCCGTGGCTCACATGAACAGCCTTCTGGAAGGTGGCCAAGGTCAAACATTGTGTCCTGGGCACCCCACTTCCCGCCTCCGCTTCATGCAGGCGGATGCCAAGAACCTGGAGCCAGTGGCGACTTCCGGCTTCTTCCACTTAGTGCTGGATAAGGGCACCTGGGATGCCGTTGTCCGGGGTGGTCTGCCTGGAGCTCACCAGCTACTGTCAGAATGCTTGAGAGTCCTAAACCCCCAGGGAACCCTGATTCAGTTTTCCGATGAGGATCCTGACGTTCGGATGCCGAATCTGGAGAAAGGTTCCCCGGGCTGGACTGTCTCTGTGCAGGAGCTTGGCCCCTTTCAAGGCATCAGCTACTTTGCTTACTTGTTTCAAGGTCAGCAGTAAGGGTCAGGCCGTGGTAGAGGAAATGCTTGGACACCCTGGGTTTAATCCAGGCACCAAAAATAAAGCTATTTTAGGGGCCAAAGAAGTAGTAGAGCGCTGGCCTTTAGACAACCAAGGTTCTATTCCTGGCACCCCATATGGTCCCTGAGAACCAATAGGAGTGATTCCTGCCTGAATGCAGAGCCAGGAGTAAATTCTGAGCATCACAGGGTGTGGCCAAAAATTTTAAATAAAGACTTGATTAAATTGACCCTACAATTTGAGTGAGAGCTTTCTCTTTGTAAGATAGTTGGAAACTGGGGGATTGAGTCCAAGTTTTCAAGTTACTTAGTTGGCTATACATGCTAAATGAATGTTTGATGTCCCAGTTCATAGACCTGGAGACGAACATTCTGATATGTAAGACACTTAGCAAAGCCAGGGATAAGATGTATGCTGAATAAAGAAACAAATGGATTTTTTTGTTCTTTACTCAGAACATCCATCTAAGCTGTGTCTCTGACCCGCCTACTTTTCTTAGGACACAGCTGTAGATGCTCACTGTCAGCTAGCTCACTCCCAGCCTAGCTGGAGGGACAATGTAGTGATGGGGACTGAACCCCAGGCAGTGGGCCTCATTGACCAACACCCACTTAACTTGATCCAGTGACTTAACATTTTTTTTTTTGGCTTTTTGGGTCACACCAGGTGATGCTCAGGGGCTACCCCTGGCGAGCCTCGGAGGACCATATGGAATGCCCAGAGACTGAACCCAGGTCGGCTGCGTGCAAGGGAAACGCCCGGGCCAGGCTGTTACTATCACTCCGGTTCTGTGACCTAAACTTTGAGCCTCGTTTTTCTCCCATAACAGATGTAGAAGATTGTGAGGCCAGAGAGATGGTACAAGAGTTAGAGGTGTCTTTCAATTCGGTTGGGGAATGTATTTTTTTCCCCACTTAGTCCACGCTGTCACCTCTTTTCCCCACGCGCTCAATCGTCTAGCTAAATCAGTCTTCAGAGGAGGGCGCTCTAGATACCCAACGTTTCGCGGATCAGAACCTCTCTAGCCCAGCTCTTCTCAATGGTTTGCTCAGTAGGTCGCTCTAGCCGGCTCGGTGGGAGGTCGGGGAAACGCCTAGACTACAGCGGCGACCTTTCTAGGCCGCGGGAGGTTGGGCAGGGCGGCTCGCTGGTCGCGCGGTCATGGCTCTGCGCAAAGCGCTGATCCTGGGCGCGCTGATGGGCACGGGGGCTGGCGTGGGCTCAGCGCTCTTTGTTCTCGTCACCCCCGGAGAGCAGCGGAAGCAAACGATGCTGAAGGTGGGAGGAATCCAAAGTGAGAGGCGGGGGAGGCGGGTGGGCAGCTCCTGGCTGGGTCTCGAACATCCACGTTCCCTTTGCTGCCCCTAGGAGATGCCGGAGCAGTACGCGCGGCACCGGGACGAGACGGCCAAGATCAATGAATTAGTGCTGGCCAGGCTGCAGGAGGCCGCGGCCACGCAGGAAAACGTGGCCTGCAGGAACAACTGGCTGGGCGGGAGGTAGCGCGGACCTGCGCTCGGCTGCAGAGCTGGACGCCCTCCGGGTTCCCCTTCTCCGTGGGCTCAGCGTGGAGTCCGGACCCGGGGTGCTGCGCCCAGTTAATCAGAGTCAGGCTGGAAGAGGCCGGTGCTGTCACTCTGTGATTCACGTTACAGCTCCCCCCCACCCCCCAAAAAAAGAACTGCATTGACTGCTTTTTATCGTCCACCTCCTGATCCCCGGGTGTAGGATGTGAACAACTTTGGGAACCAATAAAATCCCTTTTCTCCAGCTGGAGTATGAGCCCTGCGGTCTGGCACCCATAAAGGCCTGGTGTTTTGGGGGGTGCTTGATGACTCAGTTCTTGTCCTCCACGTGAGACCAGCTTTGTAACCTTGGCAACCACGATCTCCAAACACAAGTGGCATCATGTGATCTGTTGAGGGTGTACTTCCAGGAATAACCGGGCAACTCTGTTTCGGGGATCACACCCAGCAGTACTTAGGGCGCACACTCCTGGCTGTCAGGGAACTTTCTGGGCAGTGCTGGGGAACCGGGGATGGAATCAGCTTGGGCAGTATTGTGCAAGGTAAGGGCCAGTGTTCTTTCCAACCCTACTTTTTTCAAGTAAACAGTTTGATTGCAGGAGGGTACTAATTTTTTTTCTTGCTTTTTGGGTCACACCTGGCGATGCACAGGGGTTACTCCTGGCTCTGCACTCAGGAGTTACTCCTGGCGGTGCTCAGGGAACCATATGGGATGCTGGGAATCGAACCCGGGTCGGCCGCGTGCAAGGCAAACGCTCTAACAGCTGTGCTATCTCTCCAGCCCTAGGAGGGTACTAATTTTAAGGAAAACTTGGAATTTTCCAGGAAGGTCAAAAGTGGGCAGGAGCAATAGTAAAAGCAGGTAGGGCCTTTGCCATGTGCTCGGCTGACCTGGATTCAGTTTCAGTCCCTAACACTCCATATGGCTTCGCCAAACCCTGCCAGGAGTGATCTCTGAGCACAGAGCCAGGAATAAGTCCTAATTACTGCAGAGTGTGCCAACCCCACCATAAAAACAAAGGGGGTGAGAGTTAAAAATAAGATAAAGACCCTCCCGTTGATCATCAATTTGCTCGAGCGGGCCCAGTAACATCTCCATTGGAGACTTTGTTGTTACTGTGTTTGGCATATCGAATACATCACGGGGAGCTTGCCAGGCTCTGCCGTGCGGGCGAGATACTCTCAGTAGCTTGCCGGGCTCTCTGAGAGGGGCAGAGGAATCGAACTCGGGTCGGCCATGTTGGCTGCGTGCAAGGCGAACGCCCTACCGCTGTGCTATCCCTCTAGCCCAGAGTTAAAAATATAATAGAAAATACATGTTCTGGGGCTGGAGCGATAGCACAGCGGGTAGGGCGTTTGCCTTGCATGCAGCCAACATGGCCAACCCTGGTTCAATTCCCAGCATCCCCTTTGGTCCCCCGAGCACCGCCAGGAGTACTTCCTGAGTGCATGAGCCAGGAGTAACCCCTAAACATCGCCGGGTGTGACCCAAAAAGCAAAAAAAAAAAAAAAAAAAAAAAAACATGTCCTAAGTGATGATACCCTGCGTGAGGTGCAGTAAAGGAAATGAAGCACCCAGAGTCAGAATGCAGGTGGTTCATGTGAAATGTATCCAAGCACCATTCTTTTTTGGTTTTAGTTTTGGGTCACATCAGTGGTTTTTAGGGCTTACTCCTGGCTCTGGGAATTAATCCTGGTAGACTCAGAGGACCAAATAGGGTGCCAGGGCGGCATTCTTTTTTCTTTTTTCCTTTTTTTTTTTTTTTTTTTTTGCTTTTTGGGTCACACCGGTGATGCTCAGGGGTTACTCCTGGCTCTGCACTCAGGAATTACTCCCATCAGTGCTTGGGGGACTGAATGGGATGCCAGGGATCAAACCTGGGTCTGCCTCATGCAAGGCAAACGCCCTACCAGTTGTACCATCGCTTCAGCCTCCTAAGCAGCATTCTTAAACTAGAATTCTGGAAAATCCTGTCATGATAGAGGACACCTTGGGTCTCTGCCTTCAAGTGAGGTTGGCCAGGCCCTTCCACACAGACACGCACCCATGTATCTATGGCCATCATTCACGGTTGCTAGAGCAGGCTTGGATGGATGAACTTGGATGGGGTAACAGCCTGCTTTGAGTCAGGAAAGAGTCTCAATTCTAGCCTGTGTTCGGGGTGGTTGTGAAGAGATGAACTTAGAAATTCAAGTTGTGTGCCTGGCCCGGAGTAGCCTCTTAGTGAATGGAACTAGTGGGTTTTTTCCTCCTAAGGTTAGTTTCTGGTCTCTATGGGAGAGGTGACTCAAAAGGGAACAAAAAGCTGTCAATGCAGGGGCTAGAGTGACAGTACAGCAGGTAGGGCTTGCACAAGGCTCACCCGGGTTCTGTCCTTTGGTCCCTGAGCACTGCCAGGCCTGATTCCTGAGTGCAGAGCCAGGAGTAAGTCCTGAGCAACACCTGGTGTGGCCCAAAAAAAAAAGAAAAAGGAAAAGCTGGCTGTGTGAGGGCTGGAGCAATAGCACAGCGGGTAGGGCGTTTTGCCTTGCACACGGCCAACACAGGTTCGATTCCCAGCATCCCATATGGTCCCCCGAGCACCGCCAGGAGTAATTCCTGAGTGCAGAGCCAGGAGTAACTCCTGTGCATTGCCAGGTGTGACCCAAAAAGAAAAAAAAAAAAAGCTGGCTGTGTGAGGTTGTCGCCCCCCACATCCAAACCAATTCCAACTCACTTTCCCATCTCTCCGTTTGGGGGCCACACCCCCAGGGGCTACTCCTGGCTCTTTTGCTTGAGGTCACTTCCAGAGGTTCTGGGGTGCCATGTTCTGGGATGGCACCAAGCCTCCAGCCTGTTGAGCCACGCCTCCGCCTCTAGCAGCCTTCCTGTGTTTATACTTGGTTTGGGGGTCACACTTGGCAGTGCTCAGGGTTTACTCCTAACTTTATACTCAGGGATTATTTTTAGCTGGGCTCCAGAGACCATATGTCATGCCAGGGATTGAAGCCTGCCTGGTCAGCCATGTGCAAGACCAGCATCCAACCCACTGTACCGTATCTCCAGCCCCCAGCAACCGTTTTTTTCAACTGCAATTTTGAAAATGCAATGTTTGAAAGCTGCTCAGAATCATAGGACATAAAACACACAAGGATTGGTGCTGGAATGTTTCACTCAAGAAACCCTGCCCTTAACGCTAATATAAAACACAGTACTCAAAAGTTTAAAAAAAATATTAAATAAACACAAAGGGATGGGTTTGAGGAGAGAGGTCAGTGGACTGGAGAAATTAATGTAGCATGCTGCTGGCCTGGGTTTGGATCTCCACTGCCCCTTGATCCCCTGCTGTATTTTCTCTCCAGACCCACTCTTTTGATTTGTTTTTGGGCCAAACGCTGCAGTGGTCAGGGGTTATTGTCTGCACTCAGGGATCACTCCTGGTGGCCTCAGGGGAACATATGTCATGTATCCAGCCCAGGTCAGCCATAGGCAAGGCAAAGGCCTTACCTGGCTCCGCACTAAAAAACTACTCCTGGCAATGCTTGGAGGACATTATGGAATGCCAGGGATCGAGCCTGGGTCAACTGCATGAAAGGCAAACACCCTACCCGCTGTGCTATCTCTCCAGTGCTATGGCTCTGGCCCCCCTCCTGCCCCTTTTATTTATTTTTGCTTTTTGGGTCACACCTGGCGATGCTCAGGGATTACTCCTGGTTCTGCACTCAGGAATTACTCCTGGCGGTGCTCAGGGATGCTGGGGATCGAACCCAGGTTGGCCGCGTGCAAGGCAAACGCCCTACCTGCTGAGCTATCACTCCAGCCCCCTCTGCCCCTCTTTTTTTTTTTCTTTTGCTTTTTGGGTCACACCCAGCGATGCACAGGGGTTACTCCTGGTTCATGCACTCAGGGAATTACTCCTGGCTGTGCTTGGGGGACCATATGGGATGCTGGTATACGAACCTGGGTCGGCCGCGTGCAAGGCAAATGCCCTACCCGCTGTGCTATCACTCCAGCCCCCTTCTGCCCCTCTTTTAATAAAATCTTAAGATAACTTTTGTTGTTGTTGTTGCTTTTTTGGGTCACACCCAGCGATGCTCAGGGGTTAGTTGTGGCTCTGCATTCAGGAATTACTCCTGGAGGTGCTCGGGGGACCACATGGGGATGCTGGGAATCGAACCTGGGTTGGGCCGCGTGCAAGGCAAACACCCTACCCGCTGTGCTATTCAATACTCACTCCAGCCATTCAATAAAATTTTATAAGAGGGCCAGAGAGTACAGCACACAGGGCGCTGCCTTGCATGTGGCCAACCTGGGTTCAGTCCCCGGCACCACAGAGGGTCCAGTAAGGACCGTCAGGAGTGACCTCTGAACACAGAACCAGGAGCAAGCCCTAAGCACTGCTGGCTGTGGCCCCATAAAACAAAGCGGGAAAAGAGAACGAGTCACTGTGTGCAGCCACTGGATGTGCAGAACACCTCTGCCAGATTTTGTTTTCTGAAATTTAATTTTTTTTTTTGGAGCACCTGGGATTAAAGCCACAGCCTCGCAGATGCAAGTGGAAGACTTTACTGCTCAGCCAAGTGCCTTGTCCAAGAACCAGGGACACATACTCGCTATGTGTGACCCTGACACATTGGCTTTTCTTTCATTTTTGTGTTTAAACATGAGGTGTTGGGGATCAAGATTGAGTTCTCCCTATAGCTTTGTGACTGCTTTCATAGCCATGGAATAAAAACACGCTGAAATATTAAGTGTTGGAGGTTAAAAGGAACTTGGCGATTCAGAGCCCTCCCTGGTGTCTGGACAGGCTTCACTACTGCCATCTGGGTCTATTTGGACAAGTCTTGTATGTGGCTACCGTGTAGACATGAGTAAGGCCAGCTAGCTGGTTTTTTTTTTTTTTGGCTTTTTGGGTCACATCCAGCGATGCTCAGGGGTTATTCCTGGCTCTACACTCAGGAATTACTCCTGGCGGTGCTTGGGGGATCATATGGGATGCCGGGGAATCAAACCCAGGTCAGCCGCGTGCAAGGCAAACGCCCTACCCACTATGCTATTGCTCCGGCCCCCAGCTAGCTGTTTTGAGGAGCCCTAGTTCAAGTTCTAGCCCCGCTTGACCCTAAGCCCAACCAGGAATGACTCCCAAGCACTGAGCCAGGAGTAGCCCTGGAGCACACTGGGTACAACCCAAAATACAAAATCAGGCTGAAGACACAGTACAAAGGTTAAAGTACTTGTCTACCATGCACCACAGGCCTGAACCTGGTATGAATCCTGGCACCACATACAGCCCTCAGGCAGAGAGGGCTAAGAACTGGCAGGCGGGTACTGCAAACAAAACATTATAGTTTTTGACTTATTCAAAAATATTAATGGGGGGGCCAGAGAAATACTAACACGGACAACCCAGGCTTGATCCCCGGCATCCCAGATGGTCCCACAGGCACTGCCAGGAGTAATTCCTGAGTAATTCCAGAGCCAAGAGTAAACCCTGAGCATTGTCGGGTGTAGCCTAAAATAAAAAAAAAAAAAAAAAAAAAAAGGAATGGAAGGGAGCTGGAGTGATAGCACAGCGGGTAGGGCGTTTGCCTTGCACACAACAGACCAGGGTTTGATTCCCAGCATCCCATATGGTTCCCCGAGCACCGCCAGGAGTAATTTCTGAGTGCAGAGCCAGGAGGAACCCCTGAGCATCGCTGGGTGTGACCCAAAAAGCAGTAAGAAAAAAAAAAAAGAAGCAATGGAATGATTATCTCTGAAAGAGATAAGCGTCCCACTGCATCTTAGCACATATGAAACACTTGGGAGGAGCCGACATGAGAGCACTGTGGTAGGATGTGCTTGCAGGCCCCTGTTCTATTCCTGGCCCATAAGGTACCCCACCCCGAGCACCGCCAGCCAGGAGTAATTTCTGAGTGCAGAGTCAGGAGCAACCCCTGAGCTGGATGTAGACCAAAAACAGTATTAAAAAAAAAAAAAAACACTTTGCGACGGGTGAGAGCAATAGTACAGTGGATAAGGCCCTAGCCTTGCACGTGGTCAATATAGATTGGTCCTTGCTACCCCATATTCACCTCATCTTGTCCCACAAGCCCACCAGGAGTGACTCCCAAACACTGCGGGGTACTCTGGGAGTGATGCCCAGGAGCTATTTCTGGTTGGAAGCTCAGGAGTGCTCCTAGAACTTTCTTCCTCTTACTTGGGGATAGGGTGCACCACACCTGAGCAAGCTATTCATGGTTCTGTGTTTAGGAATAACAGCCCCGCAGTGTTTAAGGGAACCATACGTGGTACTGAGGATTTAAACCAGGGAACCACATGGGATGCCAGGGATTGATCCCAAGTCTGCCACACGCCAGGGAAATGCCCTACCTGCTACGTTCTCCAGACCCTGACCTGGATTTTATCCCTGGTATCCCATATGGTCTGAGCCGCCAATAATTTGAGGGCAAAGCCAGGAGTAAGCCTTGAGCATAGACTGCTTGGTCTCCAAATAAAAAACAAATCAGGGATGCAGCCACATGCAAATAATTATGTGCCTTATTTCCTGCATTAACTCTTTGGCCAAGCCCTAAGCACTTTAAACTATTCATATTAAATAAATACTCACACTCTGTGTAGTCCAAGAAAGGAATTAAAAAACTCCCTAATTCTCTGGGCCCGAACAATAGTATAGTGGGTAGGACATATCGCTTTGCATGAAGCCAACCTGGGCTCAATTCCTGGTACCCCATGATCCCCAAAGCCTGCAGGGAGTGATCCCTGAGCATGGAGTCAGGAGTAAGCCCTGAGTACAGCTGGTTGTGTTGTGTTAGTTAAAAGAACATCCTCTTGGGAGCTAGAGAGATAGCTTAATAGGGTGAACAATTTTTCTTCTTTTTGGGTCACACCCGGCGATGTTCAGGGGTTATTCCTGGCTTTGCACTCAGGAATCACTCCTGGCAGAGCTCAGAGGATCATATGGGATGCCAGGGATTGAACCTGGGTCGGCCATGTGCAAGGCAAACTACCTTCCCCGCTGTACTATCCTCGAGCTCTAGGATCAGCAACTGCTCTGCATGGAGGCCTGGGTTCAAGCACCAAAACTGGCCAGAAGCAATATCCATGCAGTCTGGAACAACCCCTAAGTTCAGGTATTTTTGTTGTTTTGAGCACCACAGCTGGTGATTCTCAGGGGATAATGGTGGCTCTGAATACAGGAATTTCTTCTGGTGGTGCTCTGGGGACCATACAGGATCTAGGATCCTGGGGATCGAACCCAGACTAGCCACATGCCAAGGCAAATGCCCAACCTACTGTACTATATTACTCAAGACTCTGTCCCTAAGTACCTCTGCCTCGGCTGGAGTGATAGCACAGGGGGTAGGGCGCTTGCCTTGCACACGGCTGACCCAGACGAGCCAGGTTTGATTCTTCCTCCCGTCTCGGAGAGCCTGGCAAGCTACGAAGAGTCTCTCACCCATACGGCAAAGCCTGACGAGCTCCCCGTGACATATTCGATATGCCAAACACAGTAACTAGTGTCACAATGGAGACGTTACTGGGCCCACTCGAGCAAAATCAATGAACAACGGAAGGACAGTGACAGTAACCATTGCCTCGGACCCTCCCACCCTCACCCCCCAAAAATCAACAGAGGAACAGGGTCTACTGTAGAAACCTTTCTGGAGCCCGGTGAGGGAAACTCGCAACAGAGAACTTGCCTTGCATGGAGGGTACTGGATTCGGTCCCCAGAACCACAGGACCCTTTGTTTTGCCTGAGTTTTCTCCCTCCCTGCACTCAGGAAGGAGCCAGGCACATACAGAACTCAGAGGGTCTCTTTATTAGGAAGGAGAGGTCAGTGCTTTATCAAAGATGGGGGAGGAGGGAAAGCCTCTCAGCTGGGACATTTCTTGGCCACAATGAGGACAGCGGAAGGCACAAGTCCTGAAGATGAAAGAGAAAGAGTCAGACCCTGACACCCCCCCGCCCAAGGCCGTTCTCCAGGGCCCCCCACCCCCTGGGCTCAGCCCCGCCCGGGGTGCGGATGTCATACCCAGCTCCTGCAGAGGCCGCTCCATGTCAGCCTCGGAGAAGGCCCGCCGGGGGAAGCCACTGAGCAGCTGCACGGGGTCCTGGCCGCCGCCGGGCTCCTCGCCACGGTGCAGCTCTACGTAGAGCCTCACGGCTGCCAGCTGTTCCCGAGCGCGGAAGGTCTGTGTCAGTGACGTCCCATCTGGCAGCCTGACCTGGGGGGTGAGGCAGAGAGACTCGGAACTGAGCCGGGGGACGCTGTAAGAAGCAACACAGCAGGCGGGACGCTGGCCTTGCACACAGCCCACCCAGGTAGGATCCTGGGCACCCCGAGATGGTCCTGGGGCCCACCCCGAGTGCAGAGCCAGATGTCATCCCTGAATGCAAGGCCAGAAGTAAATCCTGAGCACCGCTGGGTGCGGCCTGAAAACAGACAGAAGTGAGGTGCCCAAGAAAGGAGAGAGCAAAGCTGGTTGCGCCTTCCTCCGAGGCTGACTGAACTAGCACGTCAACAATCTAAAAAACTTACAAAACACACAGTTGAGGCCGGAGTGATATTACAGCAGGTAGGGCGTTTGCCTTGTACGCAGCCGACCCGGGGTCCAATCCCCGGCATCCCATATGGTCACCCAAGCACTGCCAGGAGTGATTCCTGAGTACAGAGCCAGGAGTACCCTGAGCATCACAGGGTTTGACCCAAAATAAGCAAAAATAAATAAATAAGTAAGACAAACGGTCACTCACGCTCTGCCTTCAAATCTCCCGGGGCCAGAGAGAGAATACAGCAGTATAGCAAGTATGATTCTTGCCTTGAGGCAGAAGACAGTTTGATCCCCAGCATCCCTTCTGGTCCCCGACCAGAAGAAATCCCTGAGCGATGAGCCAGGAATAAAACCCTCAAGCATAGCTGGCTGTGGCCCAAATACCAAAAACAAAGAGACTCCCCACTTCGCACAACTTCAGAGACAAGATTATCTCCATAACCATACAAACAGCTGTGTGACACACAACAGAAATACACCAAGAAGTAGACAGGAAACTGCTGAGCATGGGGGGCGGGGATGGATTTAAACAAGACTCTGGCCAGTGAAATCTGATCTCTTTCCTAAGCAGAGGCAGGATGGATTTCAAGGCAGTTGAAGGGAAAGTTTTGGCAGAGGGAACAGAACTGAAAAAAGCTTGGCCCAGGCTACCGCAGAGGCCAGCATGGGGGTCCCAGCAACCCCGCAGGCCGTCAGTACCTGGATGCGACACTGGTCATACTCCCGCTTGGTGGGAGGCTCCTGGCTGGGAGAGGAGGGGACAGGCCCCGGCTCTGCTGATGGTGCGGAGGGCTGAGAGCCCACACTGCCGCCGTACTGCCGGACAAAAGTAACGCTAGATCAGCACCTGGGGGAGGAGGGGGCTTTTCCAATACTGAAACTGGGGGGTGGAGGGTGGGGGGGGTAGCTAGGCCGTGTCTCCTTTGTCACCCCCAAGAGTTCCCCCAGTTGGGGCTGGAGCAGTAGCAAAGCACGTAAGGCGGTTCGCCTTGCACCTGGCCAACCCGGGTTCGATTCCCAGAATCCCATATGACCCCCGTCCTCCCCCTCCCACCCTACCACGCCCACGCAACACTGCCAGGAGTAATTCCTGAGCGCAGAGCCAGGAGTAACCCCCTCTGCAACGGCCAGATGTGACGAAAGAGAAAAAGAAAAAAAAAAGAGACTACCCAGTCACCGACCTTCTTGGCTCTCTCTGCTTTGTCCCTTTCAATCTTTTCCCGGACTCTCTGTCTAGAAGGTAGATGGAAGGAAAGCCGGTCAGAGGCAGGCAGCACCCCTGGACCCTAATCTCCTCTCTTAGCCAACCAGACCTGGCCGCCAACTCCTCGGCCTTCTCCCGCCTCCGCTCCTCGGCCGCCCGCCGCATCTCGTCCTCCTGGAGCCGCTGGCGCGCGGCCGACAGCTCCTGCCCTTGTCTCCGGCGCTGCCGCTCCCGCTCCAACGCCTCGCGCTCCTCGCGCTCCTCTCGCTCCCGCTGCTTCTGCGCCACCAGCTCCAGCATTCTGCGGTGCAGCGAGAGAGAGAGAGAAAGAGCTGGACCCGGGGCCCCGGCTGGGGAAGCTGATAACACACGGCGCCGGGCCAGAAAAAAAATCAGGGAACGGGGAGTTCCCAGAGAGTGGACAAAGAGGCAAAACGCGGCCACGCAGGCCAGAAGGATCGGGAAGCTTTGCGGTGCCGCTGGGCGCCGTAGGGACTGGGCGGCGGCGAGGACCTTCACAACTGCCATGCGCGGGACGTGGGGAAGGCTATTGCCTCCCTCCCGGCCGACCTAGGTTCGATCCCCGACATCCCATATGGTGCCCCAAGGCTCACCAGGAGTGCTCCCTGAGCACGGAGCCAGGAATGAACCCTGGGCACCCAGGGTGATCCCCCGCCAAAAAAAAAAAAGGGGGAGGGGGCTGGAGCAATAACAGAACGGGTAGGGCATTTGCCTTGCACACAGCCGACCTGTGTTCCATTCCCAGCATCCCATATGGTCCCCCGATCACCACCAGGAGCAAATCCTGAGTGCATGAGCCAGGAGTAACCCCTGTACATCGCTGGGTGTGACCCAGAAAATAGCAAAAAAAAAAAAAAAAAAAGTCATACCTCTTCGTCTGCTCCTGTTTTTCCTCTTCACTCAGTCCGGGCTTGCCTTCGCCGGCAGCCGATCCAGATCCTACACAGAAGCAACCAGCCCGTATTATTATTACCTGCTCGCGCCCTCCGGTGCCCTCCCCCGCCCCCCGGACGGGGACACCACGCGCGAGGTCCCTGGGCCGTGCACGACCTTCGGGGCCACTCTGCTCCGAGGCAGTGGGCTCCCGGCCCAGGACGTGTCCGAGCGGGGTGGCGAGCGGTTCATCCACGTCGGGGTCATCTTCGTGCTCCATCAGCCTGGCGGCGGGGATGGAGGGGGGAGGGATGCGGGGGCGGGTGAGCTCGGAAGCGGGTGTCCACCGCCCCCGACCACCACCACCACCACCACCACCACGGCGCGCCCCCCACCCCCCGCCCCCGCGCCGGGCGCTCACCAGTCCATCGCCGCCTCGATGCCCTGGTTGCCTGTGAGCGCCAGAGCCTTCTCCCTGGGGGGGGGGCAGAAACACCGAGAATAGCGCCCAGAGGCCGGCCATGCTGGGGGCCGGACCCCGGCTGGCGACCCCCGCGGGCCGGGGCGTGGGGGGTGGGGGGCTGCCTTACGCGCGTCCCCGAGGGAAACCCATCTCGATGAGACTCTCGAGAGCCGTCAGCTCCGCCATGGCGCCGCCACCGCCGCTCCCGCGGGGGACCTGCAGCGAACAGGGGGCGGGAGAGGGCCGGAGGGGCGGGTCAGCGCGCGCCGCCCCCTCCCGCCCTCCCGCCCCCGCCGCCCCGGAGCGGCCGCTCCCCGCTCACCCCGGCTCCGCAAGCGGCCGCGGACGCCGACGAGAAGAAAGCCGAGGGAGGCGGAAGTGCCCGGCTCTGTTTGGGTCACGTGGGCCGGAAGTGGACGGCGGCCGCGGGGAGCCACAAAGCCGCGGCGAAGCCCCGCGCGGTCGCGGCGAGCCCGGGTGGGCGGGGCCGGGGAGCCCCGAGCGGCTTGGCTGGCCCGGGGCCCGGGGCCCGAGTCCCGGGCGCCTGGGCCAGCGACACGGAAAGGGCGCGTGCGGGAAAGGGGACGGAACGTCAGCGCTCAGCGCAACCGCCTGGAAAGTTACTCGGCCGAGTGGCAACTCGGGAGTGTGGGAAACATAATTACAGCGGGGAGGGTGTTTGACTCGCCTGCGGGTGAGCGGGGTGGCATCCCCAGCAACCCGTTATGTGTGCCCCGAACCCGCCAGTAGGGATCCTTGAGGGCAGAATCAGGAGCCACCCCTGAGCACCACCCAAAAAAAAGAAACCCGGACTGAGTGAAGAGGAAAAACAGGAGCAAGTTTACTTTTTTTTTTTTTTTTTTTGCGTCACACCCGGACATTGCACTCCTGGCTCTGCACTCAGGAATCACTCCTGACGGTGCTCAGGGGACCATATGGGATGGGATGCTGGGAATCGAACCCCGGTCGGCCACGTGCAAGGAAAACGCCCTACCCACTGCGCTATCACTCCAGCCCCCAGCATTTACTCTTTTTGATGTAGGCAGATAGACAGGGAAGGGCCCTGAGCAATGAAACTTAGATCAATAAAAATTCTAAGCCTGATCCACCCTATGGATACGGAAGGAAAACAGAGAATAAGACCTTCAGCAGCTGACTTTGAGGCGATTCGACCTCTCCCCAAGAAGTTCCTCAAACCCTTGGACCTCTCCCTTAATCCGATTAACTTTAGTGATTCAACTCCAGAATACTCCAGAAATGTCCGGGATCAAGACAACCCGAAAAGAGCCTATAAAAGTCACCTTGAACTAGGGAAGGGTGCACGTATGCTTGCCCAAGCCCATGTGCTTCTTGTGCCCATGCGGCTAAATACATGCGGTGCCTGAGCACATGTGTCACCCGCATGTCCCCTCTTGAGCTGTGTACTTTCATGCTTTCATGTCTGATGCTGGGATGTGTGTAGGGGCTCTCTCCGCCCTTGGAGAAGCCGGGGTTCACTCTTTAATGTCTCTCTCTCTCTCTCTCTCTCTCTCTCTCTCTCTCTCTCTCTCTCTCTCTCTCTCTCTCTCTCCCCTCCCTCACTTCAAAAACTGTCTAAATAAAATCTGTTTGACTTCACTGCTTGTCTACTGCTGAAGTTCTTTTCTGTGTGCAAAACAAGAAACCAGTAACCCTGGATCCCAGGTTGCAGAGGCGGATGAAGAGAAAGTGACCGTCTTTCTCTCCTCAGGGGTTCCACCTACATCATTTTGACCAGCTCAACACCTCCAGGGAATTGAAGCTTGCTCATACCCAGGCGCTGAATGCCAAAGGGCAAAACCCTTTTTTGTTTTGTTTTGTTTTTCATTGAGTCACTGGCATGATACACATTTGCAAAGTTGTGCAAGATTGGGTTTCAGTGATACAATGTTACAAGTCCCATCCTTTTACCAGTGTAGATTTCCCTCCACCAAAGTCCCCAGTTACTTTCCCCTCCCTGCCTGCCTGCGGGTGTGGCAAACACTTCTCTGTGTGTCTCTGGCTGTCTCTGCCTCTGCCTCTCTCTGCATTATGGTTTGCAAAAACACATTTTGATCCTGGCATCACCAAAAGGGGGGAAACCAAGCCATTCAGTTTGGCCTTTTCCCCCAGCCACCCCATGATTTTTACTGTTGTCAATAGAGCCCCGGCTGCAAAGTGAGAATAGCAATAGAATCCAACTGTGGTGCCTGGCTAGACGGGATTGTGTAAATGTTGGTAGTTTGCAACTTCATCTCTCATCCCTTGAGGGTAATTTGGAAATATTGCAAAATAGGATCAAATGGACCAATACAACCTCTTCCTCCTCCTCCTCCTCCTCCTCCTCCTCCTCCTCCTCTTCTCCCTCCCCCTTCTTCTCCCTTCCCCCTTCTCCCCCCATTCCTCCTCCTCCTCCTCCACCTCTTTCTCCTCTTCTTCTACCTCTTCTTCCTCTTCCTCTTTCTTCAAGTCTATGGGCACCTGCCAGTCCCTGTACCTGTCATGTCCTGCCTTTCTTGTGGGTTTCTTCCGACTTCTAAGGGAAGCTGGCCTCACCACTCTCTCTGCTTCTCCCTTCTCCAGTATTTACCCTCATTAGGCATTTATCCCCCTGCTGTGTTGATTATTCAGCCCTCCTTTTGGTCTTTAATATCTCTAAAGGGAAAAGGTCTTCTTTATTTGCGGGGGTGGGGAGGCGATTGGAGTGATACTACAGCAGTCAGGGTGTTTACCTTGCACACATCTGACTGGGTTCAATCCCCAACAGCCCATATGGTTTCCCAAGCACCTCTAGAGTGATCCTTGAGCACAGTTGGGTGTGATCCACCCCCCCCACACACACACACAAAATAATAAATAAAATAGCTTGGGAAGCTAGAGAGCTAATACAATGGGTAAGGCATTTGCCTCACATGCAGCTGATCTGGGTACAATCCCTAACACCGCAAATCTCAAAATAATATGACCCCCCCAAAACAACAACAACAAATTATATACAATGAATATGTTCTAAATGTATTCTAGTGGGGCCAGAAAGATAACTGTAGGAGTCAAGGAGTTTCCTTGAATGTGGTCAACCCTGGCTTGACACCCTCACAATGAGGGGTCCCCCAGAACTACCAAGAGCACTACAGAGGGACCGAAGTGGTAGTACAGCTGGTAGAGTGTTTGCCTTGCACGCGGCCGACCCAGGTTCAATCCCTGGTATCCCATATGGTCCCCTAAGCACTTCCAGGAGTAATTCCTGAGCACAGAGCCAGGAGAAACCCCTGAGCATTGCAAAATATGGCCCGACCCCACCACCCAAATCAGTAAATTGAAATACATTTATTCTGGTGATCCAACGATCAAAAATAGGATTTTATTGGGGCTGGAGAGAGAGTGCAGCGGTTAGGGCATTTGCCTTGAATGCAGCTGACCCAGGTTCTATTCCAGCACCCCATACAGTTCCCTAAGTCCTGCCAGGAGTGATCTCTGAGCACAGAGTCAGGAATAAGTCCTGAGCAGCACTGTGTGTGGCCAAAAAATATAAAAGAGATTAAAGTTGTACAGTACTACCTCTGATCTACTTCTGGATAAAACACCCTTGAGCAAATTACAAAGTAGCAAACACTAGAGCAAATGTTCCAACAGAAGGCAATGATGAAATTCAGTGATGGAGTATTTTCTCTCTTCTTTTTTGGGGGATGGGGGTTGGGCTTGGGCCCCACCAGGCAGGGCTGGATCTATTCCTGGGTCTCTCTCAAGGGGGCAATTCTGGTGGTGAGAGGGATGTGCCTTAACCCCAGTATTATCTATCCTGTCCCAAGAAACATTTATACACACACACACACACACACACACACACACACATTTGGTCACAATCGGCAGTGCTCAGGGTTTATCAAGGTTTACTCCTACCTCTGTGATCAAGGATCACTCCTAGAAGGGCTCAGGGGACCATATGAGATGCCAGGGATCAAACCCTGGTCTGTCACATGCAAGGTAAAGACCCTCCCCACTGTACTGCAACTCTGGCCCTTACAAGTAGTAAATATCAGGAGGAACAAACATTTTTAGATCAAATGCCTAACTAGTTGAATATATCTGGGCTAGACACATCTCTGTAATGGGCTTCTCAGACATCCTTGCAATGAACTCTCTCACGGGGAGGAGTGGAGAGTGCAGATATAGGAAACTCCTCCAGCGCTTCTGCCTTGGGTGTTAGCATCCCATAACCTGCCCATCCTGTCAGTCTTGTTTTTATTCAATCTGAACTCTAGTTCTCAACATGTATGGTTTGGAGACCACACACAGCAGTGCCTGGGAGCCATCCCAGCTCAGTGCTCTGGAATCACCCCGAGTAGTGCTCAAGAGAGCCATGCAGGGCCAGGAATAGAACCTAGGCATCCTGGGAGCTGGAGAGATAGCACAGCGGGTAGGGCGTTTGCTTTGCACGTGGCCGGCCCGGGTTCAACTCCCAGCATCCCATATGGTCCCCTGAGCACCACCAGGAGTAACTCCTGAGTGGAGAGCCAGGAGTCAACCCTGTGCATCGCCAGGTGTGACCCAAAAAGCAAAAAAAAAAAGAAAAAAAAAAGAACTTAGGCATCCTGCATGCAAATGAACTCAATCATTTGATCCTGCTTGCAAACTCAATCTTGCATGCAAATGAACTCAATCATGAACTCAATGAGGAAAGCTATTTCCTCAGTCCATAATATATATATATATATACACATGTATATATATTTTGCTTTTTGGATCACACCCAGCAATGCTCGGAGGTTACTGCTGTCTCTGCACTCAGGAATTACTCCTGGCAGTGCTTTGGGTACCATATGGGATGCTGGGGATTGAACCTAGGTCGGCAGTATACAAAGCAAATGCCCTACCTGCTGTACTATCGCTCCGGCCCAGTCCATAATATATTGACTAAGAAAAAAAAATAAAAACACATTGGTGCGGGGCTGGAGTGATAGCACAGCGGGTAGGGCATTTGCCTTGCACATGACCTGACCCGGGTTCAATTCCCAGCATCCTATATGGTCCCCCTGAGCATGGCCAGGAGTAATTCCTGAGTGCATGAACCAGGAGTAAGCCCTATGCATCACTGGGTATGACCCAAAAAGAAAAAAAAAAAAGATTGACACAGCTAGAGCACTGGACAGCGGGTACAGGGCTTATCTTCCATTTGGCCAACTCAGATTTGATCCCTGACATTCCATATGTTCCCCCAAATACCTCCAGGAGTGATCCCTGAGTGCAGAGCCAGGAGTAATCCCCGAGCATTGCCTGATGTCTCCTCAAAACCAAAATAAATGCATTGCACAGAGAAAGACCTGCTCTGTG